CTACACCTACACCTACACCTACACCTACACCTACACACACACACACACGTACGCATGCAATCGCACCTTCACACCCACACACACCCGCACACACACACACACACCTACACACACACAAGCACACACACACAAACCCACAAACCCACAAACCCCTAAACCTACAAACCCACAAGCACACAAACACACAAACAAACAAACAAACACATAAACATACAAACACATCAACACACCAACACACAAACGCACAAACACGCAACCACACAAACACACAAACACGCAAACACACAAACACAAACACATACAAACACATCACAACACAACGCAACGCAACGCAACACAACGCAACGCAATGCGATGCAACACAACACAACACAATGCAACACAACACAACACAACACATCACAACAAACAAACAAACAAACAAACAAACAAACAAGACAAACAAACAAACGAACAAACAAACAAACAAACACGCACACACACACACACACACGCACACAAAGACACAAACAAAAGCAAACACACCCAAAGCAACAAATGACGGACCCCCTCCACACCTTCATCAGTTCGGCTTCTGAGACCCTGTCACCTGTCCCTCCTCAAATAAGCAGCGCCGAAAGCAAGTAAGCATGTCTGATTGAAGTCACTGAAGGGAACGGACAAAGGCAAGACCCAACAGTTGGACGCGCTGCATTCGGCGCCTGAGCTGCGGAAGGAAGTGCAGGTGCAGCAGCTGGCCTTTGAGCTGACGGAACGGAGCAGAGGCTTAGGCTGCAAGTAAGTACCTCTCAGGAGTCGAAGGTAGCCCCCCTTTCACTGTTTCAAACCTGAGCCCCTTTGATGGGTATTTGGACCTGAAGTTGATCCAGTTGGTTTCGCGGGACTAGCTTGGAGTTTGTTTAGTTGAGGTGCTTGCGTACCCGTATGAGACTAGCGTTTGCAACCTGCCTTGCAGGTTTCCCGCCAAAGCGCGAATCTGGCACAGGGCTTCAGTCAAGCCGCCTGCTCTATCAACAAGGCCCTGCAACTTCTACAGCGCAACCCCTTTGGGGATAGTTGTTTAAAGGGGAAATGGGAATCAAACAGTTTCAGAGCTTTTGGAAATAGATTGTAAGACTATGTGTTCCAGCCAGAGAAATCCAAGTCTTTGCCGCCGTGTGACCTGGCTTGCTACAAACATGCACGCTTTCGGCACCACCAAACAACAACCATGTTTGGCTAGTCATGATGATCAGCGCTCTGTTACAATCGCAGCGCAAACTTGAAACATTACCTTAAGCAAATGAAAGCTTCCGACTCACAAGCAGGACCAACTGCCAATCAATCCAACGATGCAACTAGTCACCAGGCACTTGCCGCCTCCCAGGCGGTAATTGGTCTTTTGTGCCGACTCGCACAGGTGCTATGCTAGCTGTAGGAAGTCAATGGGAATGTCTAAACTGATGTCAGAAAGAAACCCACAGCTTGTACTATCAAGGTGCCCCCAACTTTGAGTGCACGGGTGTCCCCCAACTAGTTGGTGTTTGCTTTATCTGTTAGTTTCCCTTCACATCCCAAGAGCGTTCCATCAAAAAACAGTGCCCACATTCTTCCCCAGGTGGGGGGTGTAAGGGGAAACGTGGATATTAATATGTGTAATAGTAGAGGGATCCCGAAATGGTGGCGGTCCTTTCGATATGCCTTTACATCAACCTCAAAGGTGCACCTTCAACAAACACCAACACACACACACACACAAACACACACACACACACACACACACACACACACACACACACACACACACACACACACACACACACACACACACACACACACACACACACACACACACACACACACACACACACACACACACACACACACACACACACACACACACACACACACACACACACACACACACACACACACACACACACACGCACGCACGCACGCACGCACGCACGCACGCACGCACGCACGCACGCGCACGCACGCACGCACGCACGCACGCACGCACGCACGCACGCACGCACGCACGCACGCACGCACGCACGCACGCACGCACGCACGCACGCACGCACGCACGCACGCACGCACGCACGCACGCACGCACGCACGCACGCACGCACGCACGCACGCACGCACGCACGCACGCACGCACGCACGCACGCACGCACGCACGCACGCACGCACGCACGCACGCACGCACGCACGCACGCACGCACGCACGCACGCACGCACGCACGCACGCACGCACGCACGCACGCACGCACGCACGCACGCACGCACGCACGCACGCACGCACGCACGCACGCACGCACGCACGCACGCACGCACGCACGCACGCACGCACGCACGCACGCACGCACGCACGCACGCACGCACGCACGCACGCACGCACGCACGCACGCACGCACGCACGCACGCACGCACGCACGCACGCACGCACGCACGCACGCACGCACGCACGCACGCACGCACGCACGCACGCACGCACGCACGCACGCACGCACGCACGCACGCACGCACGCACGCACGCACGCACGCACGCAGACACAAACACACACCCACACATTACATTGAGCCACAGTACAAATTCCATGCTCCCCCAAAAGGACCTGGACAATTCAGTGAGTCTCCTGGCTTTGGTGGGAAATTTGGTCCAGTTCTATGTCCCTCCCAACAGGACCACAGACAAATGGAAAATATCGGGACCACGCCCCAGAGCAGCAGGCTCGCCTTTCAGCACATAGCGTCGGCGCTCGCTGCCCCGCCGAAGCTGCACCTGGCAGAGACTTCCATGGGGGCCATGGGATGTGAAAAGCAAAGGAGGGCGCCACATACTTGAAAGCGCTTTTTGTCTAAGAAAACACTGATATCAACGCCATATTTATGAGTACTTGCCACCCTGACGGGTAGCACGTTTTTAAGAACAGTACCCTAGTTTCTGACGTTGATAACCCTGTCAAAATTGAACCAGTGGGCAAAGACATTGGTCATGCTTCCCCTCGAATCGCCGGAGGCGCTTGGTGAGTTAGAGTGCCCAAAGCTTAGACTTTTGCATTCGGTCTGGTTTGCAGGATTTTTAGGCCTCATTAAACATCCATACCATGGACCAAGCGGGCCAAAAATTTCACTCAATGGGCCCCATGGCCTCCAGCTGAAGCTCATCCTGCGGTTTTTGGATTGGATTAGATTAGTGCTCGCTGGCTAAGCTGCCGGATCGCCCAACACACCGTTTGGCGAGATCATTGTGTTGAGACATACCACGGCACAATGTGTTGAGGTGATTTCAGATCTGCAGAAATCAGCCATTTGGGAGGCCCTTTGTGAGACAATCGGCATTTGGTGACCAAATTTCTCAACCGGTGGCCAATCATCCCTGTGGTGCATCTCAAAACAACCTATGGCAAGGACAAACACACAACAGCAACAGCAACAGCAACAGCAACAGCAGCAGCAGCAACATACACCAAACAACAAACAACACACAACAAACAACAAACAACAAACAGCAAACAACAAACAACACACAACAAACAACAAACAACAAGCAACAAGCAACAAGCAAAAAGCGACAAGCAACAAGCAACAAACAACAAACAAACAAACAAACAAACAAACAAACAAACAAACAAACAACAAACAACAACAAACAAACAAGAACAAGAACAAGAACAAGAACAAGAACACAAACAAGAACAAGAACAATAACAAGGACAATAACAAGACCAATAACAAGGATAAGAACAAGAACAATAACAACAACAAACGAACAACAACACATGCACAACAACACACGAAGAACAACAACAACAACAACAACAACAACAACAACAACAACAACAACAACAACAACAACAACAACAACAACAACAACAACAACAACAACAACAACAACAACAACAACAACAAACAACAACAACAACAACAACAACAACAACAACAACAACAACAACAACAACAACAACAACAACAACAACAACAACAACAACAACAACAACAACAACAACAACAACAACAACAACAACAACAACAACAACAACAACAACAACAACAACAACAACAACAACAACAACCACAACCACAACCACAACCACAACCACAACCACAACCACAACCACAACCACAACCACAACCACAACCACAACCACAACCACAACAACAACAACAACAACAACAACAACAACAACAACAACAACAACAACAACCACAACCACAGCACCCCAAAATGGCGATCGTCCCTTGGAACCCCCGACCCCAAACGGTTCTCCTCAAAAACACACACACACACACTCATGGCAAACAAACCCTTGGTTGGGGGGTTTTCTCCAAACAACGCACTTCCCCCCCGAATTTGAGAGTTAGCGAAACACTTACAAACAGCACCCGCCCTCGCACAATTTGGCCAGGTGACCCTTCTTTGGAGTCGTGTTAAAGGAACTCAAGAGGAAACCTGTGAGCAAACAATCCGTGTCCCCAAAAGTTTCAGCCACGCTGCCATCCCTCAAGGACTTGCATTTTGACACCCTATAAGAAAGGCAGGCATCTGTTTCAATCACACACACACACACACCAGCGCACACACACACACACACGGACGCACACACACTGACGTACAGAATCGGGGCCATGGCAAGGCCAAAGCCGGGGACGCTTGAAGGTCAACAGGCCCAACGGTCCATTCCCTTGGGGCAACTGGGCAGCGCCCCAACACCCATCGACATTTGGCCCAACCAACATGAGCCGCGGCCAACATGTGCGATCGTCGTCTATGCAGACGGACAGAATGAGTGAGTCATCCCCTCTCTGTTTTGTAGAACTTAGTGAGTCACCCGATGTCCCTCCCAGATTGAACATAGACTGGAGATGGTTGTACCTCAGAACACCGGCAGTTCCCTCCCCGCACCTGTTGAAGGAAAGCTCGGTAGCGCTGGTACGCTGCCAGCGAGATCTCCTTGATCAATTGTATATGGACCCTCTTGGGAGAATAAAAAGATGACCTTGTGGGACCTTGACAGTGAATGACCCAACATGGAAAAATCAAAAGGTAAAAGGGGCTGTGCACTGAGCAAGGGACCCTTTGTACCTATTGAAGAGCTCATCTTGGGGTCCGGGCTAGACCAAAATGATCACTATCACTTTGAGGAACTGGGAGTCCGCACATGATGGCTTCCACTCTTGGGATACTTTACATCCAGGGTAGACATGTCTGGGGAACCCTACTGTTCCTCGTCTCTGATTGCCCAAGCTATCTGTGGTTTGTCGGTGTGTGTGTGTGTGTGCGTGCGAGTTGGCCAGGGTCAATTATCTTGAGATTGGGGGAGGGAAGGCGGGTCAATCATCTGGTTGTGATTCGTTCATGACGGCCACAAAACTACCCTTGCTTGATGTCTAGTACAGTTCCTCCCACAAACATAGCAACTGTGGGAGAGTACCTGAAAGATTGTAGTTCGGGTCCCTCTGTCAGGTGCCATGTTGGTGGGAGAGTTCCGCTCCATCAAAACCCGCACAGCGCCATGACCATCATGTCCATGGAGTGCATCGACGACACTGGGGACCTAGCAGGCTTAGAGGTGGACGAATGCAGCCACCCGTGACTTCCACCGTGCTGCTGGTCATTAAAAGGAGCAGCCACACATGCTATGAACATCGAACAAACAACGCAACAACTTGTTCACCATCTGTACGGCAAACAAGCCGGAGGGCTTGATGCCTTCTGTTGAGTCAATGATCTTAGAATCTTAATGTATTTCTCGTTCCTTTGCCTTGGAAAAGCCTGGGCAGCAGAGACCTACCGCCGCTCACTGCCGGCGCTTTTGCGTCCTCCTCAGCCGCATACACCGCCAGGAGCCGCGGTTCGGCCTGCACGGACCATGTAGGCACAACATTTGACCCATTTGGAGTGTAAATGCGGGAGAAATATTGCATACAAACCTTTGAATCGAGGGCTTCTGATGGGAGTTTTAGGGGTATGCCTATATACCACCATATGCTTGAAACGCATACCCTTTAAGCGGCACATAGCCTCTATACCTCCAAAGCCCACTGGAGAAGCCCTTTTGAATGGCTACCAACCTTTGAACGCTGAGAAGCTTTTGAATCACCAACCTTATGGCTTTGCCTTGGGCTCTTGGGCTTCTGGGCTTCTGGGGACCTGTGAATTGACAAGATCCACTTAGCACCGGTTGGGATGGATGAAAACCTAAACCGCCAGTCCCCAGTGCTGCGAAATGCGTACGTCCACACAGTATGAGCAACAGTCAGAAATATGGAAAAGGTGCCCGTCACAAGGGGAAAACTGAAGGCTCGCCACGTTGAAATTTGGAGCTCGTTATCCCATGCCCCTCCCATTGGAGTTTTGACCAAACCTCTATGAGCAAGCTGTGAGCAAGTGTCAATAGTCACTGTCACCCACTGGAGGTGGTTGCCCTTGGGTACTCACCAAATTGGCAATTGACATGTGCAAAACACAAGCTCGGTCTCGTGGATACAGTTGAAGACGAGTATTGTGTTATTGAACGTAACACGAAGTTTGCGACGATTGGCTTGCAAGCAACAAGAAAATGAAGTGTATGTTGTATTGAAGCATGTTCGAGCCACACAAGTCATCACATCCAACCCCTGAAACCCTCCAAATCAAGTCAACCTGGCCTTGAGTAGCACAGAAGCGAAAGGCAGGCAACCATTAGGAGCACTAGAAAGTGGGCTAGCATCATAAAATAAGGCCAAGCGTGAGACACTTCAGAAGTTGGCGTGGCAAATTGGGCTGTTTGTTGGTTCACCCTCCAAAGCAACGGGGAAAAGGGCACCGCTGGGCAACTGGGTCACCGCAAGTGATTGGTTGCTTTTCCAGACGCGTAAGAGCAAAACAAGTCCCTCTTCCCTTTTCGTTTCTTGAAACACCACAAGGCGACATCTTCTTTCCTTCACTTTGACAACGGTATACTTCCCTGCAGATTCAAACAATGATCCTTGTCAAAGCTGCATGTTATTTAGCAGGAGTGGGGAAGGGAGCCCTGCCATCGCGTTGATCGATCGACCGATCCCCGCACGCCCTGTAGTGCGTGTCAAGCCTCAGGCGCGCTTCCGAAATGAACAGAACTAGTACCTTTCTTATGGAACCTGAAGCATGTCTTTTGAGGACTATGTTGGTCTTAAAGCGGTTTTAGGGGAAGTTTGCGCCATCTGGGAAAACCATTGTGGAACAAACAGTTCGGCCCACATGCACCATTTTGAAAATATCAAGTGCATGGTCATGGCTTCAATACGGGTGGAGGTCTAGATTTATTAGTCATGTTGATGACTGTGCTTACAACGCCGCATGTGAAAAGGTGGTCTGCCCACTGCACATATCAATAGAAGGGTGACAAACAACTGGTTACCATATAAAATATCAAACTGTATCACACTGCCGAGGGAATCGTTTCATAGGGCTCTTGCCTCCCCTGCCAAGCCCAGCCAAGCAAAGCGAGAATTGAGTTCTGCACGTGACTCTCGCTGTGGTTTGCACATTGACTCTCACTGTTTTGTTCACGTCGAGCATGGCCAGGCCTTGATAGGCCTTAGTAGGACTTAATGGCGCTAATGGATTTGAAGCTCAACTTGCATTCAGGACCAAACAGCCTGAATGGTGCTCAAATAATTGACACGAGCGAATGCAAACCACTAGGAAGTCTAAAACCTATCGTCCCCACTGTTCATGATGATGCTGCAATTCCAGCAAAAAACAACATAAGCACACGGCTGATCAAGCACAAATATGCAGTGTCATGGACATGTTGCAATCCTGATTGCAACTTTCAGGGCAGAGTCAGGGTGATTTGGTCCACAGTAGGGAGCGCACCAAAACTGGCTTGTGCCAATGCCAAGGCCACAAACGCCGACGCCAAGTGTTAAACAGGCCGCTCGTCTTTGAAATGTGTTGCCTTAACGTTGCAGAGCGGATTATTTTTCTTAGGGACCGCAGGGAAGATGCATAATGACGCCACGGGTCAAACGCCTCTTGTGCAGTTGCAATTTGCCAATCTCATTCTGCAGGAGTGAGCAAGCATCACTTCAACGATAAGCTGTCACAACACCAGCTCATGAGCCTAAACACAAAGCTCCCTATATTTTGCCTTTAAGCATCACCCCACCAGCAAGCGGGGGGTCGCGGGGTGAGGGGGGCTAAATCATGAAATTATATCAACTATTTTGGCCCGAAAGTTTGATCAACTCAAAAGCAAGGATTCAGCCCATGCACTCATTTGTGCAAGTAGAAAATACAGCTAGCCACGATAAACCTGGCTCGCTGTCGTGATATGTAGGAATCACGCAAAAACTGGCCAGCTGCTTATTGAACACTCAGCCAGGCAAGCACCGGTACCAAGAAGGGGGGCCTCAACATGGAAGTGGCTCGGCAATCCAAGAGGAGTTCCGCTACCCTCAAAGATTATCCCCAGCAAAGTATTGATGAGTCACCTGCGCCATACAAGGCAGCTTTGTTTCCCCGTTCCCCTCCCGATCCCCGGTGTGTCTCCCTGCGGCATGCTGCGCTGCATGGCGAAAAGACACCTCGGGCACATGCCGACGAAATGTGGCCAAGAAAGCCAGGTGAATGCCCAAAAGCAGCAGGAAACACACAAATAACCTTCAGGGCCTTGACAAACGGACACACAAGTGAGCCCACAAGACTTGAAGGTCGGCTTTGAACTGAAAAAAGAAGCTTCATGGGTAAGGTCGCACATCCGCTTTGGAAACCCCGCCACACTTGGAATCTGAGCTAAGACGACTTCTGTTTTCTTTCCGTCGGCACTCACAGGGGCAAAATCAGCATGACGCTCTGCTACGTCTGGCACCCGGCTTGCAGGAATACCAGGCGTGGAAAGGTATTGCCTCTAGTTGCGCCATGATAGTATCACTGCCAAAGTCACCCCCCCAAGTGGCAGATTCAATGTGATTCAAGGGAGACAGCCGTAGCTTCTGATCTCAAAAAGAAATCAAACTCATGCCCACAGACCCCAGTCTACTGGATCATCGAATTCTCGGGCTAGCAATCAGGCGGCCGACCCTCAATGATGCCATGCAACCGAACCGCTCGAACCCAAGGTGACTTGCTGCAATGATGACCGTCCGCCATCCCGCCAGCATGCCCCCAAACAATTCGGCAAGCTATCTGCTCAAGGAACCTGCCGACAAGCAGTCGCAAGTTTCTCCCAGGGTTCCCATGCAAGAAACCTTCATCATCATGCAGATCTCCACCACTGCTGTGATGTTGCTTTTGATCTGCCCAGAACATGCCCCAGCCAAGGCAATGGAAGCATGGAAGCTCTGAACATGCTGGCCGCAGTGCTGCTGCTTGTCCATAGGGGGGCTAGCTTTCAAAGGCAACATGACATCACCTTGCCGCTTCCTTGTCGGAAATTCCCTCAAGAGTTGTCTGTCATAGCGTGCAAATCCAATCGAAATCTCTACAGTGACGACTCCTTGGGCATACCAAGCTCCTTTTCCTTGGAACTGCCAAACCACACAACAAAAGGGAAAGGCATCTTGTCAAGATGTTTGGGGCCGCCAAGGTTTGAAACTGCACATATTAAATATGTTCACTTCTCGAGCGCATTGGCCGGGAAACAGTCTAAACTGTTCTAGAATGATGTTGCCTGAGAAATGACCAGGACGTCTAAAACCTTGAGCAGTGAGTAGATCCCTTGTGGTCTGCTTCCAGGCCCCAAGGCTCCTCGGGGGAGTTCGCATCCAGGCTGTGGTGATGAGGCCTTGGGGCGAGATCAAGCGGATCAGCCGCAAAGGTCTCAAAACGGAGGGCTTTTGTCAAACTTCAAGCTGGAACTAGCGCCATTGATGTAAACACATCCCAATGAGTGTGTTGCAAAGACTGTACCATGCTTGCAGGGGCAGTTGCTCAATGCACACTGCAAATGGAGCAATTCGGAGCATCAAAAGACAGTCAGCGTGACTGCAGAATCTGAAGGGAGATGTGGTCCCGGGCCATTGGGGCGCGATGAGCTCTCCGATGCGCATCAGCAATGAGAGCCGGGCCTGAGGTCGGTGAATTCGTGAGGAATCGCCCTCAAAACAAACGTGTGTTTAAAGTTGGAAAGTAATTGGTGAAATGTGTGAACGTCTTAAGGAGATTCATGGTTTTACTAACCTTATGAGATAACATGAGATCTGCCTATGAGCTCCCAATCTGCGTGCAAATCCATGTTGGTGTCCTTTTCTGAACGCCGATGGTTCTCCTAGTTTTGGCACTCCGCTATCAAAAGCAGATTTCTATAAGTGACACCGGTGCTGCGAAACAAGCATGCCGACGTTCACAGCAGAATCATGCAGAAGCCCAAGATGCAACAACTATGCCAACTTGTATGAATGGTCGCTCCGTTGGGAATCCTTGCCATTGATGCCTCAACTCAGATTGAAAACCACATACGACACGTTGGAGTACATTTATTGCTCCCCCACATGAACCTGGGACAATTTGGCGGTCCCACTTGGACTATGTTGGGAGTGCTGGGAAATTCAATGTTGGAGATTGATGGAGGCTGGGTCGTCCCAATCATACTTTAAGCACAAGTGCCATTGGTTGCATAAGACGCGCAAGCTCGGCAATTGATATTCCTGCACTTGCTGCAAAAGCACACCCATCGCCAAAACACGTTAAACCAAGAAACGGATCTGCCTCGACTGCCTACAAAATCGCTCGTACTTTCATTTGCAACTCAAGGTGTGCGCGCCTGAGGTCACGCTCATCGTGCTTGAACTTTGGCGCAAGCACCTACTCCATTCCTTTCCCAGCAAACCCGCAGAAGGAATCTCTGAGGGGTGACGAAATGCTGACCCGTGTTGGGGCTCCCCGTCCCTTTAAAGGCGGCACGCAAACACACACACACACACCACACACACACACACACACAATAACACCTTTTTCGGGTCCATGCAAAAGATCCGCCCTGAGAAAACTGGCCATCATAAGCTTGCTTTGGTTCATTCTGATTGAGGATGTGTTCAACTGGGGGATCCCCAAAAATGGTAGCTTTCCTTGTGGTTTTCCTTTGAACTCTGCCCGAACAAGAAAACCTTCAAAAGAAGACACACCCAAATCGCCACTTTAAAGGGCGACGCAATTTGCCAACAACTGGTCAACAGTCTCAGGGCTCCGCGAGCGAGGTTGGGCCCCGGCCCAATCCAAGGCGTCCATGAGCTGCGGGAACCACGAAGACATGGGCCTCAGCTCTGGAATGACCCAGGCCGCCCATGGGACTTTGTATCAAGATTGGTAGCATCAAAGTAGGAACGCTCCTGAGGACTCGTTTGTTTGCTCTTTTGTAATCACAAGCCAGAAATGAACCCCAAGTAGGGACTTTTTCGTAGGCAAGTTTTACCCGGGCTCCGGTGGGATGCCCGACACCTGTGCCGTGGTCAAGACTGCTTGTGCGGATGAAAACCCAGGTTCCCTCACAAGAACCTTTGAACTTCAATTAACTGTCTGAAAGCTAATTGCAAGGTTCGCAAACAGGGGTTCCGAGTAGCCCTTGGTGTCCACTGCATGTTGCGCTGGACTCAAAACGGGGTCCCCACAAATGGCCATCATGACGGCGCCGGTTTCTTGAATGAACATCTGAAAGGGTTAACATTTTACCGCCCCGACTGTCCTGACTCATCACCCGCGCGCGATTCGTTTGGCGCCGACTCTTTCCTCCGCCGGACGGTGGCAGCTAAGCAGCACCCACCTACGGGGACGCCCGCGGAGTTTTCTGGAGCCGAGCCTTTGTGGCTAACCAACTGGGAAACTGGTTTGCTGGGGTTCCCCATTCTCGTCCCTTTTTGGGGCACACCTTTGAGATTTCCAAGGCGAACCACGAGGAAACCACCCATGCTCGAGGTGTCCCGTTTGGAGACAAATCCAAATAGGCTGTGTCAACGCTTCAACCTCCCCCATTTGTTGATGGGCATTAAATGTGTAAAGCGTAGGGATCTTTCGGAATGGTTGTCTTCATTGTGTTTTTGTTGATATCGCCTAGACTCAGCTGTATCTTCAGTCTTCGCAATAGACTGGTAGACCTGGGATGGGAATTCATTAGTGGCTATGCATCGCAAGCAGTTAAAAAGTGGCCCTTGATACCAGAGATACAGCTAAGAAAAGGTCCCTTGTGATACCAACGGGGTCATTCCCATAACAATGACTACTCTGTCGCTTTGAAGGTGGTTTCTTGGTAGCAAAGAAGGTCGCTCTAAAACCTTATTTTCCACAACCATGTCTTGTACAGAAGCGGTCGACAACAAACCCTCTGAAACATCCTGAAGTCATGCAAATCTGCAATGGCACTTTAAAGAGATCCCCAAAGCGTTGTTTCGGCATGTTTAAACATTTTTTTGCCGAAGCAAGCTTAGGTTTGCCTTAAAGGATCTGGTTACACATGTCGTACCCTGAAAGCCATAGGTATATGCTGGGCGCTAATAGAGTGCCCGGCCTCCCTCATGTACGCCTCGTCATCGCCTCGAACCCGTGTGCCGAATTTCGGTTTGTCCTTTTCGGTTGGTACGGTCTCTGTGACCAAAGGAAAACAAAAAGGCCGAGTTAGAGACATGCCTAGTTAGGCACTTCCCTCAAAGGATTTGAACGGAATGGAAGCAACTAGAAACTCTGACTTGAACTATGTCTAGAAGCAATCAAACTCGGAAGCACAGCCCGATGCCCCCGAATCCGATTCCAGCGGCTAAGCCCGCCCGAGTTCTGCAGGTTAGCAACACATTAGAAACCTTGAGCGATCTTAGTGAAGGCACGTGTAGCAACAGTTGAAAGAAGATGGTGAAATTATTTTTTTGTGGGTGAGAAAAGGGGATGACTCAACCAACATCTGCCATCTAGTTTCACCCAGCTGTACCACAAATAAGTAAAGGCAACGCATTGATAGCGTCCCCAGTATCGGGCGCCTACATTTCGCCTCAAATTCCTCACGCCTCAAAGAGCTCACATGGCGAAGCAGCCGATGCGTACACACACTAACTTGCAAACAACATCTACTGACGGTTCACATCCCATACACTGCGGACTCCCTCCGGGAAGACATTCAGAATACACATGACACAGAATATGGACTCAAACAAGGTAGTGATACAATATTCGGCAATATAATCATAATCATACTACAAGGCTGGACTTCCTCGCCATGATCGTTTGCATGCCAACCACAACTCAGTATCTGGACTGCGATCATGGTTCACTGGGGGAGCCATGCTACGGCTTTGGTGGACATGACCAGAATATTGATGGATGATGAGCATGCCTAAAGCTATCACTGAATCATCAAGCCCTTCCTTACTCAGGTTTCCTTGACATCCTTACCTGCCGCAAGTACCCTCCTGCTCACCAATCTTCCAGGCCCCAGTATAAGTCCATGTTGCGTGAGGGGGTCAGTCACCGTCACCGTATGTCAGCTTGCACCTGAGCATCACGTCCACTCCTTGAGCCCCGGGCTGTCTAAAGACTCGCCGTCCAGCTCTGGGTTGAAGATCTGTCAAGCGGCGTGGGCTGGGACCCTCTAATGCACAAAGTCGAATGATTTGCAAACTTGGAGAGATCTTGAAGGATTCCTCGCGAGTCGCTTTGTTCAATGCGCACAATCACTGGAGGGATTATCCTAGGCATCGAGGCCTCTGACCCTGCAAGGAAATGGGAAACTGATACGCCACAAGGTCGGCTTGTTTCGGGGGAGCAAGGCTACAGGGGCGAAGGTGCCAAAGCCTGGCTTTGGGAATTCAAGTTCCTTCCATTCCGGCCACCCGCTGTTCGCCACCTGGGCCTGGGTGATCTCCTTTTTCAGCTCGGGCAGCGGCTTTGTCTCCAAGGCCTTGCGGTGCAGGAGGTGCTTTCACGGCCCAGCCAGTTCAGCGGTTAGTTCAAGGGAAGTTACCGGGGTTAAATCACTTCACTTCCGGACCAACATGCAGGAGAACTAAGCTGAAATCGGGAGACTCATCCTCAAATAGAAACAAGGAACAAACATATGTCCACCAGTCCCAGCGTGAGACAAGCATTTTCCTAATTACTTGTCAATATCCCAAAATGATCTCTGTGTGTGTGTATCTGCTGCAATAATTGGTCGTTGATATAATATTTCATTAAAAAAAAAGCGCTTTAATACCACATCCTGCAATTTCTGATAGGGTGACTAAAATGTATGAAAGTAGTAAGGGGCGATAACGAAACCATAACCCATCTTACACATTTCATAGTACTGACCTTGCAGCAGGAATTGACAGACATAATAGGACAGGGTCGCAGCACGCATTGGTTTGGAACCAGATTGCCACAATGGCCTCTTTGCATGCCAGAAAACGAGGTAGATAACGTAGAATATAGCTACTGTATCACGGTGAGCAATAAGCACGCGCTCCAAAAAAGCACAACCAGGAAACACCTAAGATGCGGCGATCCCGGCTGATCAGGCGCTCAAACATGAGAAGAGAGCTGATCCATCAGAAAAGCAACCACTCCTGATCTTCCCACGTTGCATACACTGGCCGCAGAGAGAAGAACATAAACGAGGAAGGATTCTACATTGTTGAAGCATACCTAAATGTGCTCCATTCATATGGGGCTGATAATCTGATCTACTTTCATCCAAGCGTAGATTGGAAGGCCATCAAGTTTGGTCTGTATACTTGAGCAAACATTACGCTACGGCATGCATGTCATGGAGGCTCCCAAAGACCCAAAGTCTCAGAAACACAGACCTCACAACAAGCCGAGAACCTACGTTGGTAAGGATTTTCACAACATCCCACAAGCATGCCCTAATACTTCCCACAAGCATGCCTTAATAAGATTTGTCTCCTGTCATATGCAAACAAACACGTAATACTATATACACACAAGAAAAAATGAAGAACACAAAGCCAGAGCCACTGTCTTTCAAGACTTCTGGGCATCCTGGCGTAAAGCTCGTAGGTGAGAAGGCGATCCAAGAGCCACTTCTTCCGGAGCTCCTCATGTGTTTCTAGAGGCAGACACCAAGCAGAAGCAGCGACTCAGTGCGGATGGGAACAATCATGCCATCTACTTTCACCGAGTAAGGGAAAACTCAGGCACTCTGTGGGATAGGAGCTGAAACTTGGATGGCAGTGAACAGGAGTGCCCGCGGGGGGGGGGGTCCCTGTATTCAACCTGTAAAAGCTTTGGCCGCGCGGCACCTCCGTTGACAAGCTGAGGGAGACAAGGAGACTGGTCAACATTTGGATCAGTTCTGGCACTTGCAAGCAATCAGATTGCGGCAAGCAAACAAGCAAGCAAGCAAGCAAGCAAGCAAGCAAGCAAGCAAGCAAGCAAGCAAGCAAGCAAGCAAGCAACAAACCAGTGGGTCCTCTGGGAAGCGGCCACCCATGGCCTTGGCCTTGTCAGATAGCTGCACGTCCCAGTTCAGGCCCTGGTACTTGCAAATCTTCCTGGGAGAGAAAGGAAGAAGATGCACCAACCGCCGGAACAAACCAAGCAGACGTGTTATGCGCGTAGAATTATCTACGCTCATACACTTCTGCTTGGTTTGTGCCCGCTTTTGGGCGTGCGTGCGTGCGTGTTGAGATTGTTTTTTGTCTGAGATGGAATAACTTTTGCAAGCTGGCTTGGTCAGTGGCAATTGAAACAGAACAAAACAGCCAGCAAGGGACGTGCCCCTTCACTAATTGTGTTCCAGGGGTGTAGCGTCAGAAAACCACAAAGAAACGCAAGCCTTGAACCAAAGTGGATTATGAACCCTCGGTTGGTTCAGTTTCTGAACATGGGGGCACCCTCCTGTTCATCCACCACGTTGCTTGATCTGGGCCAACATGGTGGTCGCGTTCATGACATCCCCGGCACGGCTCATAATCCAATGTGCATTTGGGCATCTTCCTTGATGCCAAGAGTGCGCATGTCCAAGACAGTTTCCTCTCACGCCAAACCACTACCCCCAAAGGTTTCATGGGACATACAACCACTATATAGCTACTGCACAAGGGAATATGCCGTATTTTCTGCAGCTTTTGAACAGCTGCTCCTCAACAGCGGGCGCGCTTCCGCCGCGAAAGGATAGTTAGTTTCCACCGAACACATACGACGGCTACGAAGGTTCTCAAATGTCTTCAGTGTTGATCACCCAATCAACCGCAAGAACATCAAGGGTTGCCACAGACGATCTTACTTGCCCCAAGCTTGTCGAAGAACTCGGTCCTCCTGGAATTCACATCCAAGAACAACAGTAGCCTCCCCATCATTTCCGGATTGCAAGAAGCCTTCTTTTCAGAAATCGGCAAACAGCAACGGGTGTGGATGGATTGCTTTTGTTTCATTGTCTCCGCCGGCGTGGGATGCAACGGGAATGAAGTGATTGGAATCCTGATAATTTGTTGTCTCTGGGGGACACAGCCGAATGCGCAAAAAGTTGACTACCAGGACTGGTCCCAGGACCAGTCCCAGGAGAGGTGCCTGGCACTGGTCCCAGGACTGGTCCTGGGACCGGTCCCATGAGTTTCGGCCGCAGCAGGCGGAGGCCTGATTGTCATGAAGCTAACATAGTAGTATTATATGATGCATATAAGAATGGTTGCATATAACTTATTATAATTGTCAATGTATGTAGCGAAATGTTTCGAAAAATGTCATTGACACTATTATACTGTTGTCTATTTACTTGAGTGATTAGAACAAACATGTTAGACTTACAATATCTACGTGGTACCACCGAGCAACTGGGCAACAAGTGCCAACAAGTACAGCCACTCAGAACGTGGGGAAGGATGTCCCTGTCCAAAAGAGAGCACTGAACAACTGAATGCTAGCAGCCATGCTATGCAGAGTCTCCGCGGGTGTGTAAAACCATGGAAGGGTGCCTGTGCGCGAGCCTACGCGGCAACAAGCGCCTACGGCAAAAAACCTACGCAACTTTTCTCGGGCGCTACTCTTAAGTTTGTGCAAGGCAACACATTCCTACGCGAACCCTGCCTGCGCTGGATTTGCTTGAGCAGCCTACGCTTGAGCAGCCTACGCTTGAGCAGCCTACGCGATCGTCTTCCCAACCAGAATTGCCAACGCCATCCCATTCCCATGCAAACAGAAGAACGTTGTGGCTGAGTGTCTCCAGCTGGCTGAAGTGCTGTGACTGCCACTCTGCCAGCTTCGCCAACAAGGAGTCGGACAGCTGCGCACCTCTCCCTTGCCAAGAAGCATTGAACGACAATTTGTTCTTTGCTAAAGTGGGCCATCGAGAAGACATTTTTTCTGTTTCTAAAAAAAAAAAAAACGTGAAAGTGGGCATCACAGAAAGTGGCCCTGAAGCCCTACCTTACCCAATCATGCCAACAGGAAAGCCAACACTTTCTGATTGCCCTCTTCCCTACTTGTGATTGGATAAATTTCGAACTCCTGTGTTAGTGCAACCCTCCTTTTTGGGATGACCTCGTTATCTACGGTATCTGGTTTCCTACTGGTCGAGACTCCCCAAATCACTACACCTAGGGATTTACACAGCCACTACATAGAAACTAGCTATATGTATATACCTATGAAACGCTGGGGGGTAGTGGTGTGGGGCTGGTCGAAACCCGAAGCTTTGCGAATGTCTCGAGATCTTATACAGGCGTGGCAATGTAGTAGATGATCACCAAATGGCTGAGGTGGGACAATAGTCTATAGGGAGCTAGGAGCTATCCTTAGGTGTCAACGGGGAGGTCTCAAACGGTCTGAGGGCATGTTTGCTCAGCTGGAAAATTAGCCTCTCGCCTGAAACACTGAATACCTTGTTCCATTAGACACGTATATGTGCTGGCAAATTCGAACCAAACTTACACCAGTGAAGTCCATCTATCACAGCATACTCCTACCCAGAAAAAAAAAAAAAACACACACACAATTTGGTGTTTGTTGCATTTCCAAAGCAGCCTGTTCCGTGCGTTGGGTATTTCAATAGTAGGGGCTGGAGGATGTAAGGGTAGTTGGCATGCTCAAAATTGGGCCATGAGGAAGTAGCTTACTTTTTCAATGGGTATACGTGACACCTCAAATCACAGGCAAGCAGGTTGCGGAAAAATGTTTTGCAGTTTGGGCCCCTTTGGCTGTTCTACATTAGAAGGGTAGACAAAAATATCGGCTCGTGGCCTTCGGTTCTGGGACTGAACCACAAAGCTGAAGATCAAGCACTCGGGTGACTTGGGAGGACCCCAAAGATAAAGCCACTCCTCTTTGTCTCTCTGGAAACCAAGGTGAAATGGCTATCCTGCAAAACAATCCCATTTCTTTCAGAGTTACAAGGTGAAAAAGCAACTGCTTTGCGTGGTCCATTGTCATAACTCCGCAAACCGGATTTCGTCCTCTGACTGCTCGAGGGGTCAATGAGCACCCCGTGCGTCCTTGTGCAGGGCTTGTGCCGGAACACGTAAGGACATGTACACTGAATCTGGCCAAAAGCCCGAAAGGATTCCTTAGCCCTCACAGAGGAGACCCAAGCTCGCGTCAGTCCCCATCCGAAGCCTGGAAGGAAGTCCTCGGCCGAGACAATGCCCTTCATGGAAGCCTCCAACCTCCAGGTCCACTGGAAGAAGGGATGCTTCTCAAAACGATGGACCCCTTCTGGTTGCTATTCAAGAAACACCAACAGGAAATTGCCTTTTCATTTTTGGGGCGGTCCTATTCTGCGTGTGCGGGAGTTCACTTGGTAAGGCCACCAAAGAAATGCGTCTTTTCATATTCATGGACATGATCTGGTCAAAAGCCTCGCTAAAAAAAGATGGCTCTGTTGTTTGAAACGGAACATGAAGGAAACAGGGCAAAAGAGCGAAACACCTCTTGGTCAGATTTGCTGCCATTGCGGAGGTTCCCGTGATTTCAAAATGAGGCATTTTGGAAACTTGGGTCCTTTGGCAAACATAAATGGTGGTTCCGTTGACACACGATTGGAAACTGAAACCAGTGAACTCGATCTGATTGTTGCGCCTTTGCTGCCCGCTGAAATGGCAAAGGAGCCGTGTGAAAAGACGAATCAGAATCTAGTTTGGGAAACGCACATCTCAAATTCGTTCCCACACTTGTTGAAACATGCCCCCCACCTCTGAGGTCCCTTGAATCTGCAATCGGTCCTGGGGCCATGCTTGTGGGACATCACACTTTCTGTATCACAGAAAAGTGTGCTCATCCCAGCGTGCGAGAAGAATGCAGGGTGTAAAATACATGTATCTGCAACAGCTGTGCCTGTGTCTGACACAGAAAGTGGCAAAACAAACATGTCCCACGACTCCTGGGACTCTGGGACTCCTGGGGCGCCAAGCCCTTTGAGAAATTTCGGGGTGAAGATGGCGCGGTCCAGCCAGGAGCGCAGCACCTCCTGCACCAAGGACACCTCGGCGCCTCCGAAGGCTTTACGGACTCGGTGAAACAGCCAAGCTTTCAAGAGGGCTCTGCATACCCTAACACGACGGGAAATCAAAAGATAGCCACTTAGATCTGAGCTTAACTGTTCTTGGCTTGAGCTCTCACTGAAGCAGGCTCATCACAAGAGCCTGAACCCTGCCGGTGATCACAGAAAATCCTCTTCATGTCGCTTTGTCGATTGCAGGCACCTGAGTCAAGTATGAAGCCATGCGATCCCTGGGTCCAGGTCTGCAACTGGCAACGCGGCACCGGGCCGCTTTTGACTGAGCACAACGTTGCAACAAACGGGAGATCCGAGCCACCCGGCTTGCGCTGCAAAGGCGAACTGTGGGCTTTTCAGTTTTTAAGGGGTGATTCAATCTGATTCCCCATGCTTTTCAATCGTTCTTTTAAACTCCGGGAATATAAGGACCCTGGGAAAGAATGTCCGACAAGCAAGTTACCCCCAGGAAATGACCAGCTTGCAATCATGATGACTCTTGGTTCTCACAGTTGCCCATGCAACACAGGCGGGCCAGTCATTTCGGACAGCCAACCCTCACGGGAACATCTTCCAAACACTGGGAACAGCCTGACATAGCTCGATGCCTGTCAAGCAGGAAGATTGGGCATGCCTCGCAGAAACATCTGGAAGCACCCCCGTTTAGATCGGATCTAAAATGCCAGACCCACACTGCCTGACAAAAACTCAAGGCCCAAAGGGCTGGCTTCCCTGCATGCGGGAACGCTGAACGACAGCGCTCAAGGGCTTAGCATTTCCCAGTTTATCCCTGTTACCACTGCAATTAGGAGGTATCACTTCGATCCATGTTCCTCTTGTTTGTTTAAATGCTGGTTCTCTTGGTTGCCTATACAGGCAAATGGAATCACTGGGCTGACCAAACAACTACGCCTCAAAACTCACTTTACGTGGCCCTGGGCCGACGTTTTGGTGCGTGCCGGATAAAGCATCCTGTTCCCCATTCTCTGCGCCTGCTTGAGCTCCAAATGGGATGGTTCTGGGTTGGGCACCCGCTGCATCGGCCACAGTACCCGGTTGAGCTGCTGGATGAAGAAGTTTGCCATTCACGACTCTCTGCTGCGCCATCTGCTTGATCTTCTGAAAATTGGGCGGCTCTAGGTGGAGCACCCGAAGCAGGTCACAGCCGTCCATGCCGAGAAACGAGTTCGCTTTCCAACCCTGGGCCAAACAACTGCGGCGCCCTCTCGAATGACATGCACAGCCCGGTCACGACACATGCTTGTTGAGGGCGTTCAACACATACGCTGTCCCGTGGGTTTTTGTAGCATTTGGCCCCCACCGACACACACGCACAAACGCATATATATATATATATGCATACATGTGCGTGTGTGCGTGTGTGCGTGTGTGCGCGTGCACGCGCGTGCGAGTGCGCGCGTATGCGCGTATGCGCGTGTGGGCGTGTGCGTGTGCGTGAGCGCGAGCGTGTGCGGGTGTGCGTTTGTGTGTCTAGTGTGGGTGTGAGTGTGTAGTAAATGTGTGTGTAGTGTGTGCGTGTGTGTGTGTGTGTGTGTGCGTAGTGTGTGTGTGTAGTGTAGCGAAGAGTGTAGAGTGTAGAGTGTAGAGTGTAGAGTGTGTGTGTGTGTGTGTGCGTGTCTGTGTGTCTGTGTGTCTGTGTGTGTGTTTGCTTGAGGGCACACTGTTCAGGTTGGCTTGTTGCATTTCGTATTTGTGTGGCTTTTTGTCTCTGTACGAGGTGAGCTCTTGATCCATGCTGTGAAGCGATGTCCCTCGTTGTCAGATGTTGTGCCACAGCATGTGTCCAGTGGGCTGTCAGGAGCCGCTTGTTCGCTTGCGAGCTGTCTCCATCTCCTCGGCGACCTCTTTGTTGGCCCTGTACGAGTTGATCTTCGCGACGTGCTGCATCAACATCTGTTGCACATTGAACATGATGTTTTGCCCATGTTCTGGGTGTTCTTGGAGCAGTCTCATTTTCTGCCCTGCTGTCTGGATGCCGGTGTTGTAGGATGCCAGGTGTGTCAGCAGCTCCTGCTGGTTGCGACCTCCATGCCCTTGATCCTGCCCTTCCCGTTTCTGATTGCGAGTCCACTTTAACCGTGCTTCCAGGTGTACTTCTCAAAGACGCGAAGGTAGGTGTCCTCAGCGCTCACATAGCCCCTGTCGAAGGTTGTAGCATGTCCAGATATGGAGCGCGACAAAGTCTCCCTTGGATCTGCTGTGAAGGACCGCGTGTCCCTCGACGTGAGCTGGTTCTGACCCATGTGACGCAACGTTGTGAGAATACAGTCACGCGGGCTGGCGTCGAGCACCAGGAAGTTGTAGCGAGGCTCCCTCCAGTTGCCATGGTGTGCGCCAGCTGTTCTTCTGCGGCGTGTAGCCCAATAAACATTTGGTACTCCTCAGTAGCACGAAGGTCGCGCGCCCTTGTTCCTTTGTTCAGCATGCCACGTTTCCAGGTCGATTGACGCTGCTTTAGTGTCCTGGCTGCTGATGTCGTGGAACCTCAATGTCAGAACAGCACGGTAGTCCAAGGTATGCTGTCATCTGATACTTCCATGTTTCAAATGCGGTGTACTCTCCTATAAATCGTGGTGGCGCTACGTATCTTGTAGCTGCCTGTTCCATCCAACTGTTGTTGCTGTTGCTGCTGTTGCGGTTGAGCTGCCATTCCTGTTGTTGTGTATGGCAAGGCCGCCAGATCTTTCCCAGGTGCGTGTTGCGGTTCACTGCCGCGTTGCTATGTTAAAATGGAAGCAACTGCTGAACCTGTATACCTCAAGTGAATGACCTGTGTGTGTGAAGTGGCGCAGCAGGGCTACTAGAGGCAATCTCAAAAATAGAACGCAATCAGAGACGTCATCTCCCCTGGGGTGAAACTAGCTCAAGAGAACCAATCCTTATCACGCATGCTGTGCCTGAGCATCCGCCCATATGCGTGGCGCTCGCGCACGCGTGAGCCCGCCTTTGTACAAGTGGTGGAACTGCTCGAAAGCCACTGGCAGATATGTCTCAAACTCGCGCTTGTAGACCTTCATCCGGAAAACAAAGAAAATCACAGGCCGGAGCCCCAAATGGACCCGAAGGAAAGATTTGATCCTGTCAGCTGTTCCTCTCTGATCTCCAATTAAAGCCCGGAGGCCTTCCCTCAATTTCTCAATGCATTTGTTGTCTACCGCCAAAACGCAGTGCAAAAGAAGCGTCGCCTTACTGCGGGCCCGCCATCCCCCATGACATCCCTCAGGGTCAGTGACACCTTGCAGTGCAGGATGATCCTAAATAAATAAAGCACATGTGCGCACATGTGCGACCCTCAAACAGGCCGTTGGCAAGGTTATACACACACACAGATCCGCAAAACACCAGAGTCGCCTTCGGAAGACTTTGAAAGAGGCTTCTTGTTGGACTCACCACCAATCTGGTCCTTGTCTGGGAGGAAGCTGGGCAGGTGCTCGCTCTTTGGGGTCCATTTGAAGATGACCGAATGAGTGCTCTCAATCACCCGGGAGCGAGGAACTGGGTTCTTTCCTTGCCTCCATCTGCCGAGCTAAGTGCTCATTAATGTTGATATCATCCCGAATGGCAAGCTGAATCTACGTGGTTGTGGCGCCAAAGCGGGCAATGCCGGCCTGACCCCTAACACGAAGCATGTCTGGAGAAAGAGGCCCTGCCAAGTGGATGGGAAAAAAGCCATTGGCTGGCTTCTGTCAGCTGATCACAGAAACAATCTGCAGAAGAACACCTGAGGTGTTGTTCAAGAGATCCAAGATCCGCTCCTGTATTACAGTAGTGTGCTTGCTAAAACTGAATCGCTCGTCGAAGTTGATATCCACAAGGGAGGGCCCCTTATTTCGGACCCCCTCCAATTTGAGTCGCTAGACAGAAAGCTATGCCGTAACACGGGCTTTGACTCCAACCATCTTGCAAGCAAGCCAGGTCGAAGAAAAGAAGCAACACGTGCGCAATAGTCAACGCCTGCTACTCAAGAAATCTGCGCGAAGTCACAATGACAGACATGCCAATAATTTCTAGGCGCATATCGGCGGTTTCTGGTTGGGACTGTTTCGCTAAGCCTCAAGTTTGAGTGTAGCTATCGCCGGGTGCCCACACGTTGGCGCTGGGCTTGTAGATGGTGGCGGTATTGTGGAGGATGTCAGAGATCAAACAAAGGCGCCAAGACCTGGCAATTCCATCGAGCCAACTGCTGTCACTGAAAAAATGGAAGAGGAAGGTGGCTGGTCGGTGGTTTGTCTGGAGGGCTGGTTGTTCTCTTGTGGAGTTAGGCCACTGAAATTCAATGGGTTGGTGGCTTTGTGTTGCACGAGCCAAGCCCACTGAAAAAATGTCTCAACCTGGTCGGCTCTGGAAATGTCCACCCACCGGTACCAAGGTAGTTTGCAAGGGCCATACTGCAATCTGCATTAAACCAATTAGTAGAATCAACTACTAAAATCTGCAAATTGGGGACTGGGCCTTGATAAAATGTCAAGCCCTCCGGAAGTCGAAGCAGGCGGTTTCCATCAACATTCGGCTTCAACATTTCCTACGTAGGAAACATATACCAAGATTGAACCATTCTTTTGAAAGATACATGTGAGTACATGCTGCATCACGGAGTGGCTGGGATTGGCTGCTTTGACCCCCTAAAGCACGGGGCATGAGTGGTTCATGCCACGATTCGCCCTACCGCCGCGCCTGCTTTGGGCATCTAGGCGCTTCTCCGTGAGCGAGTCTAGCAGGCGCTGGGACACCTCCACTGCGCAGTCCGCGTGATCTAGGCACCAAACCTCAGCAGTTGAAATGGGAAAGAGGAGGACTCCCAAAAAACATGTTTTTCATTGGGTTCCCCTGGAACCAACCTGCTTGAATGCGTGCCTGTGGGTGCGAGCGCGTGCATGTCTGTGTTTGTCTCTGTCTCGGTGTGTTGACAAACGATATTGCAAACATTCAATTGACAAACTGTTCGCAACCTAATTCGGCAAGCACAAAGACCCGCTAGTTAGCACCGAACACCACGAGGAACTATGCAAGAGCTGAGATCATGCGCTCACATCATTGTGCCTGCCCTAGGACAGGGAAATAGACATGTACCCATACTACTGCCGATGCGTAAACGAACGTGCTTGCGCTCTGAGCAGTGTTGGAGTTGGACAAGGACCAATATTTGTTGCTCGTGTTTAGGCCTCCTTCGGGAGGACGAAAGTTTTATCTTTGCAAGACAGGCTAGCAAGTCAGGCTGTGCAGAGCCAAACATGGTTCTGTTTTCAGGGAGAGTGGAAGACGACCTGTCTGAGTGCTGTCGTCGTCGTTTTTGAACCTGCAGCGTGAGAGGTAACTACATTTCTAAGCAGGGCGCTTGCTTCCAGAAAAGGAGGCAACTTGTTTTGCAACTACCTTCCTTCGCGCAGTCGACCAAACGAGCTGGCGCAGATGGCGGGCCAGGGGAAGAAGGGAGAAGTGATTCTACGTGATGTCAGGGGTCACCCTTCAGCCCCTGCAAAGCGCATGTTCTAACACGCCACTGGAACTGATGGGGATGGCTCTGCGGGTGGGAATGGAAAAATAATCACCCTCGAGCCGACGACGCCTTTTTTCACGGACAACACGCACCTCAAAACGCGCATCGTTCCATGCCGAGCCACCATCGCCCTGCAAATGTCCCGCGCAAAAGGTGAGAGACCCTGGCCAGAAGCAAAGGGGCCCACTGGCCCACGCGTGGGCGGGCGGGTAACGTGGAACCCTTGTTAGGGGTTACCCACAAACGAATTCTCTATGACTATGTAATTTCTGGGCTTTCCCTGCTACTAAGAGGCATACCTGTGGGGCACCCTGCAAAAGAGCCGCCTCCAAATCTCAAATGACTGGTGGGCAATAATTATATGCCTTTGAGGAATCTCCTTTTGATAAAAACGTGGTGGGTCCCATTTCAATGTTGAAGGGGGACCCGTACTCTCACGTATCCGCAAAAAAAGAGACCCCTTATCTTTGAGGGTTCCATCACTTGATACCACACCCCCTGCCCCTAACAAAAAAATGACAGAAAACACGAACCCGAATGTAATTAACTAATGTCCCAAAGCTACCGTGGCATGTCTGTCTGTGTATCTCCCTATCCATTTACCAAGTGCACCCATTGATTTGTCCATCTATCCATCTACCTATTCATCCCTGCATCTGCCTGCGCATCTATGGGTCTACATCTGTCTACCTATCTACCTATTTGTGCATGTACGCATCTGCACAGCTGTTCACCTATCCGTCTATCTATCTGATTGTCTAGCTAAATATCCAATTGTCTATCTATCCACCATCCATCAATCTATCTAATTCTATCTATTGACGCATCGATATTTATAGGCGTTATCTTCTTTGTTTATTTGTTATTATGTATGTGTTTCGATTCTGTTTATTTTGCTGTCTTTGTTTCGTTCTTCATGTTTCCTTCCAGCTTCATTCCTTCCTTTTTCTTTGCTTTCATTTAATTTTGCGCCATTTATTTTCTTTAACTTTTGTTTATGTTACTTTGTGTTCTTGTCTAGTCTTTTCTTTCTGTCTTTATTGCGTCCGTTCTTCCTTTATTCTTGTGTCTCTTTCTATTATTTTGTTTTCCTGGTTGCTCATCTTTCTTTACTAGTTGTTTCTTTCCTTTTTTTCTGCTGGAGTCCCTGCTCCGCATTTTCCGTTTGTCCCGGCCCACGCCTCCAGGAGGTACTGCACCTCCCGGGCCTCCCGGCGACGCAGCTTCTCCGTGCCAGGTACCCTGGCAAAAAAGTCGTGGGGCTTCAGGTTGGGAGGTGGGGGGGTGGGGGGCTAGGGTACCCTAAAGCATCACCCAACATGGGCGACTGACCTTTTGAACAACAAGGTGATGTTTGTTTAAAAAACCAATTAGGAAATACGGCCCCCCCCGGTGGGAAGTTAAGCTAATTTGGTGGCGTTGGGTTTTCAGCTAGCCACATTAACCAAGTATTTGAGCTTTGGCTTGGTTTGTCTGAAGTTTGGTGGCTTGGTGCGTTGGCAGCTTGATTGAGGTTTGGTTTAGGCTCGGCGTTGATGTGCGTTTGGCGCAGTGCAAATAGCCTCAAAGGCATCATACACTGCGCGTCCGCGCCTGCCGTTCTCGCGAGCCTCAGCTTCAGCCTCCCCCGCGTTTTCCTGGCGGACTGTCAGGCCGGGCCGAGCAGATTTTGATTTCACATATTTCAGTGTGCGTGTTTTGGAAACCAGGCAAAAAATAATAATAAAATATTAAGAATAAGGTTCTATGGGTCGAGCAAACAAGCGCCACTAATGCTTACGATGGTTCACATGCATACAAACCCATGCATGAACCAGAGCTCAGAACAAGGACCTTCCTGGCAAACCATGCACATTGTAGGAGTTTGAAAAGGGACTGCATTTTTGGGATGGCTACCTGAGAAGGGGGGGCACGCTGACAATTGCAGGCTTTAGTGGTTGAGCGATATCTGCGGGCCCTCCTTGGCCATGTTGCGAAAGCCTTGGCCGCACGGCAAGCCACGGATACGGATGGCAAAAGAGGGCGTGAAGTGACCATGGGCATGTACATCAAGTGGATAGTAATGGGTCCATAGCATGGGATTAGCTTACACCAATAGTGAACTCTGCCTGTGGGAGGCAAAGACTCTGACACTGAAATACCAGGGCCAAGGTATCAAATCTCCGGCGACCTTGCCGCAACAAGCCAAGTGGATTTGGCGTCAAACCATTCCGCAAGTGTATGCCAGTCTGTGGTTGGGTTTGTGTGTGTGCTCGAGTAACATGGGCAACCAAATAGGAAGGGTGGAGTTGACTGAACTTCATAGCCCTAACCACACGCTGTAATCCTCCTCGTGCAAAGGGGCATCCCAGTCACGAGCTGCATGGCATACCCCAAAAAGACGTGGAGTGGACAAATCGAGAACCAATGATGGCCCCTTCAATTGAGGCATATGAACTTGAACGGCCGGGCAGCCGAACAAGACCGAAGAACTTGGAGCCTTGAATTATTGAACCCAATTGAACATCTAGATCTCCGGCAAAGCAGTCTGTTGAAGGGTTCATGGGACTGAGAGGCTTTGCCCGCCTTCAGCCAAACCGTGAATCTCAGTGGACTGCTGTCTCCCCCGGAAGTGCCGGACTGAAGATTTGCTCCAAAGGACAGGCAACCTGCTGATGTCACTAGCAAGGCCACCAAACAACAAGGGTCACGAGCTTTTTGCAACGGGCAAACGCGAGGCTTCCCAACGTTGGGGAAAAGTTATAGTCCCTGTCGAGCTTGTGGGCAGCTGAGTTGTTTCTCGGCCACCTGTCCTTGCAAGCTGACCTTTCGGCAGTGGATCAAATCGAAGTTGGAGAGGCACTATGAAAAAAGGGCACTCGGAGGGATTTCTTGCTTGGACAGAACCTTACGGCTGCAGCTCGTCCCCCAAGAACTGGCCACGCAAAACAAGTCGAAAATACTGGTGTTTCCGCTAGATAGAGAGTGCTCCTCTACTTTCATGAAACTTCTATACTGAGTGTTGCTTTTTGTGGATGATCCCAAAGCCTAGATATGTCGCTCATCATCCCTTATTTACATCTCCATTAAAATGCCCATAGAGCATTTCAGGGGCTGATATGCATCAGCCAAAGGTTTCCCTACGCGAGCGCTTTGTACGACGAACCCCCACCCGCAAAATGGGTGGTCTTGTGCTTTCCCTTTTGGTCGCCCTTTGAAGCAACCACAAAGCGAGTTCCCATCAAACAATAGACACACAATTTCTTGACCCCAGCTTCGCCGCTCCGTCCCTCGACCGAGCGGCGCCGGGTCCAAGCAGCGAAGACCTTGGAGTAGTCCGCGTGCTTCACCTTCGATGGGACCCTCCCATGGGCTACCAACCCCAACCGGGCGGGGCTCGGGAACCCGAAGGGACCTCGAACGCGCCCAGCGTGTTTTTTTTTGGTCAAAGGCTGGGCTTGCTGATCGCCTTTGGGTTTTTGAGTCAGCTCCGAGAAGAGAAAAGATCGAACCCACTTGATGCTGCTTGTAGAGTTGCTGCCATCTGTCCGGAAGCGAAAGAAAGGCAAAGTGCTCCAATAACATTCATATATATATATATACATACACATACATGTTAATATACGTCCATATATAGAAAAAGCCATTTGCAACACTTGGGTATGTGGCAAACTAGGGGGAAAATTGTGGTTTTCATTTGAGTTTGATTCAGACCAAGGTGCAAGGGGACCATTTTGCCAACAGCCGCCCTCAATGCGGGCGAAGCCTTCAGCCTAGGCCAAGAAAGGCGCGCCTCCCCGTAGGGGTTGAACTTCAGCATGGCCTGTCGATGTAAGTCTTCCCACACACGAGGCGAAGGGAAAGCCGCGTAATGCAGCGCAAGGATCCCAAACAATTAGAATGGAGTTGTGGAGCATGTTGAAGCTAAATTAAGTCATGATCATCACGTCCTTACATCAGTCTTCAGTCCGGGGATTCTTAGAAGGAATAAACCTGCCTTGTTACCCGCATTTTGGGACACCCCGTCACACCTATGGTTTTATCAATCAAGGGCCACAAACAAGTAGGCATCTGAATGCGGGACCTGTTTGGCTTCCTCTCTTGCCACCGGTCCAAACCACAGCATGCTTGTGAATAACCTTTGGTTCCAGGTGGATGATCCCCATAGTAAACCTCCCCGTATACACAATATGTCTCGCGCCGCCTATAACTCCGCCTGGACTGTAGTTCTACATTGTGTCCACCGCCACCAAACTCTAAAATGTGCAAATGCGGCAGGAGATTCTACAAGAGTTCAAGTTTGACTTGTTCGCAGCAGCGAATTTTGATAAGGTCGACAAAGGGACAGCATTTGACAGCAAAACAAGCGCCCTTTCTTAGTGCCCACTCTATCCACTACCTATTCACCATGCCATGTCCGCGAGAAACATATGCCACAAAGCAACGCACAGCTTGCCATGCTCATGGCCCCTGATGGCCCCTGGATTGCATACAGGAATGATTCGGCGCATTTGGCATATTCAATCAAGGGTGCCTTTCCGTCAGGGTGGCGAAAAGTCGATGGGTTCCTGGTCTCCAAAGCCTTTTAAGCATGTTTACATCTCAACTTGCTGGGGTCTTCACGTCCCGCGCCCAAGGTCTTCTAAAGGACTTGCCGTTGAGTCTGTAGCTTGGCTAAGCGCTGTGAAGGTCTCGTCAGATCCGGCAAGAATCGATGGAAGGCTGAACCAAGGCCCCCCGTCTCCAAGATGGGAATCTCAATCACTCACCCAGGAGAACTTGCGAAACTCGTGCAAACCCACTGTATAGCCATTTGTTTCATCAAAAGCTCATTAATTGGGGCGGAAACTTGGTGAAGTGCACTCCAATCGATTCACCGCCCTAACCCTGGGAGGCCAAGGCGCAGGAATGGTGGGCATTTCAACATAAAGCAAGGAATCCAACCACCCAAACACGGCGAGTTGTGGTGTTTTCAACAGGTTGACTTATTGCTGACTTTGGATGGCCACCGTCCAACTCAAAGTAGGAACCCTTTAAGAATGATGGTTCAAAGGGAACAACCTTTGTTTGGCTGATTTCAAAGGGAAGAGCTGCTGCATGGATTTGTTTACACACATCTGACAGCCCTATATGACGGGCAAGGAAGAAGGATAAACCACTTTTGGTATCGATTTTGGAGGGACTTTCGCTTTCAAAAAACAACAAAGGCACATCTGTCCATCATTGACTGGATTGTCGGTCCCCAGCAACAAATCTGCTCGGGGTAAATGTAATTCCATTCCTAAGGGCACTGGAGGCTCGGGAGGAGTACGTCCACGGACCCATTTAATGAGCCACGGTCAGAATTGCTTGTCTCCCCTAAAGGACATGGGGGAAATTTGGTTCGCCCCCTGGCTTTGGGAAACTTAGAGCTCGTCCCCCACAACCCGATCTGCGGGGGATGTGCCAAACTGCAAAAAAACTACAGGTCTTCATCTGGTTCCTTTAAAAAGCTACCAAAACTAGGCTCCCAAAAAATAACCTCAATCTAAATAGGAAAGCCCTCACTTTCGGGTGTTGTTTCCTGTTATTTCTTTGTTGTAAGCAATAAAAGTAGGTGTCCAAAAAGACGCCATCTTCAGGTGTTCTTCTGGTTTCCCCTTAAACAAAGCCCTAAAAGGGAGACCGCCACAACTGCGTTCGCCTGCTCCCGGAGCTCCGGAGGCAGCTCCCGCAACAGGAGCCGCGCCGGACGGTCCAGCTGCCACTTGGCGCAGAACTCGTCCTCCACGTGCCTCGGGCGTTTGGACGTCCGAAGAAGCGGACGGCGTTTGAAACGTTTTTGCGTAAACGGGGCAACACGGGCTCGTGGCAAAACCGTGGGACCCGAGTGGCTTTCTTTCTGGTGTTCATTTAAACCACTGTAACAACGGGTACCCGCAAAACTGCTACGTAGCCCTCCCACGTGTCTGCTTTTCAGAAAGCTAAGTACTACCTTAAGACGGGCCGTTTGTTCCAACGAATCCCAGGAAACAGCTCGCCTTTTGGTCCACTAGGAAAGTGCATTGATAGGAGCCCGTTTGACATGCAATGTCCCAGAACCGCTCCTGGTGAAAGTCCGGGGGCCTATACAAAACATGCCCTGCAAGGAGCCTTAGTTCGAACTGGCAAGGGATTTGTGGACACTCTTGGCCAGAGCTGTCTGCTGTCTGGATGTCCAACAAAGCAAAAAGGTCATCGCAACCCAAAACTAAAAGCTTGGAGATCCCGCTGTGCAGAAAGCTTGCGTTTTGGCTGTAAAAAAAAGCCCTTGAAAGAGCTGGTTCGGCCAAGTTGTGCAAGTCAATCCCAAAATGTTTGGTTGATGGACCGGAGAATTCGGGCTCAAACGTGAGACACCGACTGTATTGTCAATGAACACGCCTAGACAAAAATTTTGGTTGTCAACATTCCCCGCCTCCCTCAAGTCCATTGTTTGGCGCATCCGTTGAATCCACAATCCCAGGGCCTGTGACGGAGTAAATTGGGACAAAAACCAACTAAACCAGGCCAGCGCCCAAAAGGAAGAGGGAAAAACCTGGCTGGAAGTCGTCCCACGGCATCCTTCTTCACCATTCCCAATTCCTGCCATCTCAGATCAGTCTTCACCATTGCTGATTGGTCTCTGACGTGGTTTCATAGTGCCGTTCATTAAAATATAGCGATCCATTGGGACATGCAAACTGAGGACTCTCAAACTGCACCTTGGTAGATGTACCAGTTCCAGGAAGCCGCGGCGCCGGTCGCCAGAGCCAGCCCGGGACCGGGAGGATCGCGACACAGAGCTGGAGGATTCCGAGTCTGGCCGGGCTAAAACGGGAGCGGACGCGTCGAGAGTAACTGGCGGAACAGCGGGGTGCCACACATGGGCGCGGACGAGTTGGGTGATGGATCATACTGCTGGTATCGGTATTCAGGGCCAAAAGAAGACTGTCAACATCAAATGACCAGCTGATGTGAGGACTGCTCGGCAGATAGTTTTCCAGTTTCGATTTCCACGGGAACCAAAGAGCAAAGCCAGCTTTTTGTGTCATCCTATATTTGGGAAACTCCAAGTAAAACATGGAAGCTCGAAAAGATTCCCCTTCAAACTGGGGCAATGAGCCGCGGCCAAAGATGCTCTTCTCGAGAAAGGGCAAAGGCTTACAGCTTTACCACTAAACTAGGCTTTGCCCTACTTTGCCAACCACTTTTGGGACAGTCGTGTCTTTATTGATCAAAAACGGTTCTTGTTTGTGCTGTGCGGCGCTGCTACTGTTTGCAGCGCGCTATGTTTTTTGAAACTCGCACGTGGCACCGCCAGTGTCATTGCTGCAACAAAACGGCACGCCAAGTTTGTATCGCACATGTCATGACGTCTAGTAAGTTTCGCTGCGGCAGATTTCGTGAGTCCCCCCCCATGTCCCGCCCCCCCCCCCCCCAAAAGACTTGAAGGCCCAACCGCGCTCAAAATGAAACCCCCAAAGCTGCGGTTGCCTAAAAGCCACGCTGCAACAGCTGGGCTGCTCAAGGCTCAACATGCAGCGTTGGCCAATCCCAATCCATGCCTGTTGGAAAACCACGATAAGGGACAAATTCCCTCACAAAACTCCAACTGGCTGGTGGTTGGAAACCCGAATTTGCTCCTTCCCTGCGTTGACGCTATTCTGTAAAGTCACTCTGGGCGATACAGGGAATGTGAGACCGTGAGACGGGAAGGACTGTCACGCAGCCAACCTGACCATGGAAACAATATTACTAATATTACGCGGTACATGGTGCGTAGTCAACGACAACCAATGACAGCCGGAAAATAAAGAAAAGGCAGGGAAGTAGAAAGTAGATGTGGATCTCAAAAAATATTTCGCCAAAGACAGAGTCGATAGGGCAACTGGGCATCCCAAGAGAGGAGACTCCAAATGAGACGTCAATACCGACTCAATCATGCTGTAAGCTGCAAGCAGGAAAGCTGCCGAGAGCAGATCAACTGCAAACCAAGGGACGTCATCAAGTGGGTGAACCATCCAAATGAAGAACCAAACCAAACAGCGCAAGATCCCCTCCGGCAACCACCGTGATCCTTGGCAAGGTACCGCGTGTGCCTCAAGGTGCAAGCGCGTGTCGCAGGTGAGAACCCCACAGAAAACCACAAGCACCGAAGAGACACCCAGACGAGCGGCTGAAATGGCGTATCGGCCCTACCCCCTGACGCCTCAACACCTGAGCTGTCCGCGCCATCTGAGCCCCAGAAGCTGAGTTTAGATGAATGACCGTTTGCCCTCCTACAAAGCCCGTCAAGGTCAGGATCTTGCAGGTTGCCCAACCGAACCACCCAAGGGCCGCCTCGGCTGCGGCTGCGGCGCCGCGGAGATCTGGACGGAGGGTGCCACACCACACCCTTCCTCGGGGTGTTTGACAAGACATCCAGCTGAAGACAGGTCAAACAATCCAAGAGCAATGGCCTGGGTCGCAGTCCCAGTCATGTATCACTACACGTACTGCTGGACTGCCACCGAATAGTTGCAGCTCCAGATTTGGTGGAGATAAGACATCCTCCCACCACTAGCATGTCCAGTGCATACATGAACAAACACAAGCTTTCCATTGGCTGAAGCTGAGTGCACAAGCAACAAAGGACCTACCCGCACAATGATCAAACTTCTTGACGGCCAAAACAGTCCATTATATGGTGCTAATGCCTCTGGAAGGCGCACTCGCCAGTTGCTCTGCGACACAAGGAACCCCAATAAACAGCACCAACAATCCGAAAAACACAATGATGCCAAAAAAGAATGGAACCCCAAAAATCATTAGTTACAGGAAATTCCTGTTGATGGACAACTGCTTTGGGGTCCATGTCAATGTATGGGTGAAAATAATCCCCACACATATACACACACAGACACACACACACACACACACACACACACACTTATCTCGAGAGGCTTCACTAGCCGAGATGAAAAACGCAGTCGGTAAAAATGCTTGAATGCAAATGCAAATCAACAGGTCACAACATCGACACCGAACAGGAAGCAACAGCGACAAACAGAAACCGCAAAGGAATCAGGAAAGAGGGTCATGAAATAGGCAGGTACGCCGGATTGATCAGATCCGGTATCCACCGAAATGCCGTAGCTTCATTGGACTGGATAGGCAAATCGGCTCCAGTCCCCCTGCAATGTGGAATTTCCGTCCGTGCTCCAGGACGCTTCACACACACAAGGCCCCGGCGGGGCGGACACGAACCACACAGAGGGAATTCCACCAGGGGGCCGCCAAAAACCCCGCGGCAACAGCAAAAGAATTTCAAGGACAAAAAACCGGGCGCACAAAACCAAGCAGAGGGAATTCCACCAGGGGACCTCCAAAAACCCCCGGCAACAGCAAAACATTTTCAAGGACGAAAAACCCGAGCGCACAAAACCAAACCGAGGGAATTCCACCGGGGGACCGACAAAAAACCCCGCGGCAACGGAAAAAGGTTTCGCAAGGCGTCAATGGTGCAAATGCATGCGAGCACAAAGGGGTTCTCAGAGGTGCCTGTCAAGTGGCCTCATGAAAGTGCCTCATGTGGCTATGCCGATGAATCTGAACTGAACTCATGAATCTGAACTGAACTCATCCGAGACGAAAGCTTCCATAAACGCCACGAATTGCAGAGTTGGTGTATGACCAACTCGTCACTGGCGCATGAAGCTTAGGAACCTGAAACCTCGTGGGTGCAGCCTTGCTTCAAAGGCAGGCAGTGCAGGCAGTGCAACGCGCATGAAACCAGCAGAGCACCATTTGGGTGCGGAATACCTTAAGACCTCAAGCTGCAGCCTTGATCGTGGTCAAACGCGCTGAACGGCAGGTTGAATTTGAACGTATGAACGGTCTTCCCCTCGCAGGGGGCTCCCGCATGTGGCGAGTCCAGCCCACAGCGCCATGTCGGACAGGCCGTGGGTAAACACACTTATCTCGAGAGGCTTCACTAGCCGAGATGAAAAACGCAGTCGGTAAAAATGCTTGAATGCAAATGCAAATCAACAGGTCACAACATCGACACCGAACAGGAAGCAACAGCGACAAACAGAAACCGCAAAGGAATCAGGAAAGAGGGTCATGAAATAGGCAGGTACGCCGGATTGATCAGATCCGGTATCCACCGAAATGCCGTAGCTTCATTGGACTGGATAGGCAAATCGGCTCCAGTCCCCCTGCAATGTGGAATTTCCGTCCGTGCTCCAGGACGCTTCACACACACACACACACACACACACACACACACACACCACCCGCCACACACGCACACACACACACACACACACACACGCACACACACGCACACACACGCACACACTCTCGAAGAAACACACCAACCCGAAAAGACGCAAAACACCTAAGCCCAACACACGCACGTAAACATGCAAACCCGGAAACACACAAACACCAAATCCATGGCACACACACACACACACCGCAATTGGTGCAACCAAAGCCAGCGACAAGCCATCATGACTTTCTTTGAGGTTGCAGAGTGAAAGTGGAAGGCACACATTCCTTAGCAATTAGAGAACATTGAGAAATCTGACTAGACACGCGGACACAGTGCTATCTAACTTTCGACTTTTCACCCACCCGTATGTTCTTGGAAGCAACTGCTCCCACAAGCCATTCTCGGAGTCCAGCCAAGGCACGTGCACATCCTTGGCAACTTGCGTTCAGACAGGGGAGCGGCAAAACTAGGCACTCTCAGATCTGCACAATTTTGGTAGATGTCCACTCTCCTGGTTTTTGGATCCTTGGCATTGTGTAAACCAGGATCATCCCCAATGGAAGCGGTGTTGCAACGAAATTAAACTGACATGACCCCCCTGGCTCAATCAAATGATTCACCAGAAGCATCGCCCGTACTACTCTTTGAATGGAGTTGAGCATAGTTCAATCCCAATCATGGCAAACCATGATTAAATATACTAAACAAACAAACAACAATCATAACAAACCATGACCTACACAGACACACGCACTAAACCAGAATCACAACATGACCAATGTCAAACCAAATCAAAGATTACACAATGATTATAGGAATTCATTTCAGACTGACCAGCTGGGCAGCTACGGCAACTTCGCATTCTCTTGTCAATACGGCCTCGTCCCCAAAAATCGGGGACATCGATTCCCAAAACTGGTGGCTTCCCTTTGGCTTCTATTTCAATCACCCCGAACGGGGTACCCTCCAAAGTACGTCCATTGCTCGGGGGTTCAACTTCGCATACAAGATCCAGTCAGCAAATTGCGCTAGAATTCCAATACCTGAAATCAGGGAACCTAAGGTAAAGGGCCCACACCATGAGTATTCGCTCTTTCCACCCGCGAATCGATGACCTCGCTAATAGGCGAGGCGTTGGTCCTGGAAAGGACTGGAGGTGCTGCGTTGTATCTGGTCACTCCCTAGACTAGGTGATGTTTGTCCTTCCAGCCCTCGCACAAAGAAGACCTCGTGGAAAAGGATTGACTTGCAAGCCACAGCTTGCAAGCGACTTTGAACTAGCCTTGCCTGTACTTGTTTGTTTGCATGTGGCTTTTGTCCGTTCAATGTGCCCCCTTCTCTCCACTCGACTGAAACGATGAAGATGATGTCACGCTTGACTGTCAAACCAGCAGCTGCATACACTCCGGAGTGGTTTGGAGTGACTCTAGGCCTGGGCTCCGGAAGGGCTCCGGAGGTTGCTGTTGGTCGTATGTTCATTTTGTTCAAGAGGCTCCCCCTGAACGAGCCTGGATATCTGGAGAATTTGAAAACATCCATCCCATAAAACTCAACATGGTGTATCAGTCGCACCCATCATAAAGCTACCGTCTTCACAGACCTCTTTCAGCTTAGCAGTTTTCAGATACCGAGTTGTCTCCGCCATGTTGGTTTGTCAACCCTTCCACCTAATGTACAAGACGGAATTGTTAAACATCTACATGAGATCCGTTGAAGGATACGTGGCTATGCGTCAAAACGATGATCCACTTGAATGGTTGAATTAGGGCTGATGTCCTTGCCAAATGAGACCAAACGACATCCATACTTTCTAGCACATACCCTTGTTGAACAACTTCCAAGCAGAATCCATGTGTGTGTCTCCCCCTTCCCCTTTGTGAAAACCGTTCTCGGTTCCCTCACCCAACCTGCTGTCCAGTCCAGCCGCTGAAAGGGCTCTTTGCGCCACTTGTGCCGCGAGTCCCCCTGAACGAAGGAGAAGACGCGCCTTGGCTTGCGCGAACCGAAGCAATTGCCATGTGCAATGCCCGGCAAGCCATTGAAGGAGTCAGAATGAAGCTATACAGTACCATGTCCCAAAACTCGTAGCTCCGAAAGGCTCCCGTGACAGTTTGGATACCAGCTCCGCGGCTCTCTTCCCACCACAAAGGTAAAAAAGCTCGGCCTAGCATTTTCCTTCGAGGGGCGACTCAAAAGTGGAGAGAGCGTGTGTCGTATGGGCAAAAACCCCGTTTGGCGGACATAGGTTCGGTCAAAATGTCCAGAATGTAATTTCGGGCCCCTGGGGCACTCTCTAAATTTCCCAGAAAGCTCAGGAGACTCCCCACAGGTATTAATATGTTTGCTCATATATCCAATGCTTGGGGTGTTTAGAGCATGATTGAAAGGGCCCAACCGTAGCTTCGCGTTCATGGGGGTCATCCCGGAAGCAAGGGGCTGACTCCGAGCAATGACTGACAATGGACCAAAGCTGGAAAACCGAAAGGTTCGAGCGCCGGCATTGAACAATTCAGAATCCGGTCAAATCACTTAGAGCAACACATTACGCAGCGGCTTTGGTTGCCGTTGGGGAACGTTGGGGAACTTCGCAACACAATCCAAAGAGAAAGAAACCAAACTCGACATGGCAAAGAAATACAGGCCCTTCAGCTTCTATCATGTAAATGCCATAGCATCCGGTGAGACAAAACCTGCCCGCAGCCTGCAACATCGCGACTCATCCCAACTTGGCGGTCACGGCGTGATTGATCTGATCGCTTTTCGGTGGCCGGATCTTTCAATTCGAGAAACTGCCAAATAATTCAGGCACATTCCCTTTTCCGTGTGCTTTTCACACGAGTGGCAGATGAGTATGGAGAACATCAAAGGCTCCCCCCATACCACAAGGTTCCTAAAACCTCCTTAGAAGGGTTTCTTATAAGAGTTCTGAAAACACGAGGGGCCCCAATGTCTCTCCTTAAGACGGGAGTTTCCTCATGGCATGGGAATTCACCGCCCGAGCACGGGTAATATGTACATGATATAGAGCGCTCAATCATGATGATGCATTCTTCTTGCATCCGGAGTCAAGCCCAATTCACGTAAGTGAAGACTGATGCGTCCGAATCTGAGGAGGCATCGGTATCGCTGCCCTGTTCGTTCACGTGGGGATCATTGACAGTGTCTGTCACCACGAAACTCCCCTCTGTCTCTTCTCCGGTCGAGCTAGACTCGCAGCTAGCCGTTGACCGAGACCTGCACTTCTCGGGCCGCTCGCGGAAGGAGGAGCAGCAGATTCCGTAGCGATTCACGAAATGGATGTTTGGCTGATCCTTCTGCATGTCGCTCACAAATTTCCAGCCGATAATGCTATTGCAAGCAGAGCAGGACACATCTGCAGTGACCATAGGACCTTCTAGATTGGTCACAAAACCCCACCCAAAAGTGAAACTGATTGATAGTACGAAACCCGCATTCTGGGTACGTCTGGGCGTGCTTTTTGAGTGAACCATTTTGGGTCACCCTGTTTCAACACATACCGTTTTCCACAAGTTTAAAAAGGCTAAAGATCGCAAACAGCAACCAAGCCTTGTGCCAACCGACTAGGCGTGCCCACTCCAACGCTCACAGACCCAGTGATGAAGTCGTTGATGTACCAGGCCCGTTCGGCCCCACAGCTGGGGATTCTCCAACAGTGATCCTTCAGGGGTGGGCTATCGCCTTACAAGTGGGAAAGCATAGCTGCTTAGGTTGTTTCCACATGTGGACACCCCCAAAACAAGAAGCTCCCTTTGGTTTGTCTTAGAAAGTCCCCAAACAGATAGCGTCGAACAACATTCGTGAATGCAATGTCGTGGTCTTCCGATTGAAGGTTCATACGGGCAAAAAAACGTCGTTGGGTAGGTTTGTTTAAGTCAGTCGCTCAAAAACACCTCTGGCCTGGCTTGGGGTCAATGTTTTCGTGTAAACTCCACTCACAGGAATCATGGATGATGACATCCGTTCCTGTGACACCCTAAATGAAGCCCCGTGAAATGGCTACCCTTCTCCGACTAATATGTATATATATATATATGTTTCTTAGGGTACCCTTTTGGGTGTTAAAAAGGAAACCAGCGGAAAATCACACTTTTTAATGGTCCCCATTTTAGGCCACACAAAAAGTAAACCCTTCGACATGCGATGAAGTGTTAACCGCTGCATCCGCGGCTGGCACCCCACAGGTGTCAACGAAATGCTTGGAAGGAAACACAGGAAACCGAACAAGGAACCAACTCCAGTTTCGGGACGCCAAACAGCTCTAGACCTGAGCACAGTTGGCCAAGGGTCAAAATCCCGTACCCCCAGTGAACATCCCAATCCCCACTAAGATAGACTAAAATGGGTGGTGCACCTACCCAAAAATGGTACCTTTGGTTTTGACCCATAGCTATTTGATCCTTGGAGATCACAGAGTCCCGGAAGAAGAGCGGTTGACCACATCCAGGTTTCTTTGCGCGGCCGCTGCAGTGCATGACACACCTCTGCGAGACTGGCCCATCGTTGTCCTTAGGAGTTGAGGACACATCCCCACATTGGCATAAGCTACTGCTTGGGAATGCTATACTATACAGTAAACTGGTGGGTTCCATTGCTTTGGCATCAAAAACAAAAACAACCTGAGTGTGAAACTGTGAAACCATCAGGGTCAGGGGTTCATGCTGGACCTCGGACACGGCTCATGCACTATCAGGTGACGAATGTGCCAAACTAGGCCACACCAATTGGTTCAATTCCTTAGTTTGCTTCTGGCCCAACCTTTATAAACATTGGCACCCTCAAAGTACACAAACCCATATTCCGCAGGTCAAATGCCGGGTTCAGGGTCCGTCTCGGACGACTCAGGGGGTCTGCCAAGTGTCAATCTCCACGAGGTAAGAGGCGCAAAGCTTGATCACCGAGATAGAAGGGCCAAGGACCCGGCCCAAAAACCGGTCGCACTTGCCTCAGTCCAAGGGACTTGGTTGCGTTGTAGTTTTGGGAAGCATGACTTTGGACCAACTCAAGGGAGCGACCCAAAGGATACAAGGAAAGTAGATGTCCTTTCAAACGGTGCTTGCCAAGGGGATCAGAATTGCACGATGACCATTCGGCAAACCTCACTTCTTGAGCGGATTGGGCAAAACATGTGCACACTTTTTGTTTGATACTGAAATGGCCTTCGCAAAAGGGTTCAGTTCCATGAGCTCAGGGAATGAGAAGCACGACATACCGTCCGCAAGGGCGGGGCCCTGAATTTCAGACTTGCTTCGGCTCAGGTCAAGCAATGCCAAGACTGGACCAAACGCAGCTAATCATATCCCTGTAAAACAGCGGTATTTACACTAGACAACTCTGGCTCGGAGCCAAATGAACAAGGATCCAGCAAGGTTTTATGTTTGCGCTTTGGCCGCGAAGTGAGCCTTACACGACGAAAAAGGCCCTGCTTGGTTTGAGTGAACATGTAACATGGCCATCTGCATATTTCACGCACCCTTCTTTAGCAAACGAATATGGAGGTGGAGAAGGCCGTTTAGCGCAGGGTAGTTTTTGCAAAGGCCCGCCCACCAGCTTTTATGACAATCGGGGAAAGGGTCGGTAGGTTTGCTGAATGTCTTTCGGGGGAACTCTACACGCCACTTGGGGCAAGAAATAGCCCGTGTGTTTGCCATCCTGACTTATCAATGTTTGTCTAAACTATGGATGCGCCCGCTCAGCACTGTACCACATGGTAAGCACCCCCGCTCCAAGTGCGCCGGCTCAGCGCTGCGCACACGCCTGCCAAATGGTAAGCACGCCTGTTCAAGTGCACCTGCTCAGCACTCTGCTTTGGCCCATTTTTGGCAGTGTATGACACGGGCTGCGAAAGACGAGCTGCACCGTGTTTCACAAGCCTCCTTACCCTTCCGAAGACTACGTGCCAATGTAACTACAATTATTGTCAAAATGAAAAGGTTATAAACAAGTACGACAAGGGCCGCGATATTGACAGTAGCAACCCAGGAAAACATGGCCAAAAAACCAAAACCAGGCCCAACAACTGTAGGGGAATACTCACATGAACCACTGACAAACTACAAGGCTAGCTTCTCGTAAGTATCACGAGAGTAGACGAACCGTACGTCTCTCACAAGGAAACTACAGCGGAGAGCACGTATACCACACACACACGCACCCTATCTCGTCCAGAAACAAACGAAACCAAGCTGCACATCAAGCGGCGGCACCCCAGCAAACCCGTCTCCGGCTCTAGTCGCAGGTCCAGCAGGGTCGTTTCGGCATCTTGCGCGACGAGCCTCAGTATACGGCCGCCCGCGTTCGCAAAACTGGCGTGGGCCCCAGGGGAAGGTCCCGCTTAATTGTACTTGTTGACTCTAGTTCATATGCGCATCATCTAAATAGAACCAATACACTAAATTGTTGCTTAACTTCAAACACCATAATTGACTCGGCTATTTTGCTCATGTTGTCGCAAAGTGGCAACTCTGTCTGAAATCCTTCTCGAACCCAAATCCATCAAAAAAGTTAACCAGCTTACTCAAACGGTTGTGAGGTGTCTCCCGAATGTCCAGTTCCTCGGTGCTTGCGTCATTGTTTTATGAAGGTTGAAAGATGTGAACGGGTCTCTGGGTTGACCGAAGGCTATGAGTCGAACTGTTTGCTCTGGCAGAATGAAAAAAGGGGGCTTGCCCAAAGGGTCTTGCTTCTTCCAAGTAGCAGCACAATCAAAGACAATCAATCGAAACTGAAGCCAAAGCCATCTGGTAAACAGAAGTCTCAACCAAAGAACAAATGATGGCAAGTAAGCAAACTGCCTAAAGCAATGCTTGCAACAGGGAGACAAGAGTCTCCACTGCCACACTAAGGAGCGCAACCAATCCGATCCAAGTTGCAGTTCTTCAAATGCAATGCCGAAACCAAAATAGGAAAGCATGCCGTGTACTGTACTGAAAAGGGCAAGTAGGGGAGATTGACACCCAATGGCAAAGGGCTGATCTCAAATGCGTCAACCACCACCAGCCTTAGGGAAGAGGGAACATGCGAAGGAAACCTGTCAACAATAACAATGTTGGGAATTTTGCCCTCCAGAATAGGCCAGGCTGGGTGCTAAGATATAGCGACCCCTCAGAAAGGGGATGGTGCGTGAATCGAAATAACATCGGCCGTGCAAACATGTGTGTGTATGACATATATGCAGGAATATGTGCACATGTATGAGTACAGATGCTTAAGCTTGTACCAAGAACATGCGCACCTACATGCAAATACATGGTGTGGTGGGGTCCGCAATTTAGGGAAATGGTTTCAATTTAGGGAAATGGAATGAAAGACAGATTCTTTTTTCAAGGATACCTGTTTGAGGTTTTGTCCTACGGGGATTCCTGCCATCTCAGGAGTCACGTCCGTGTGCTTCTCCGTCCGAGTCACGCGGGCCCGTCCTCTAGCCGCTGCCCTCGCTGCGTCTCCTTGGGGTGGATCACGTGGCACCCACAGGCACCGCACGTCAGGCGTCGGAAGAGCAGTGGCTGGCAATCCTTCGCAACGGCCCGGGAAACATCGGATCTGCAGTTGTTCTGTGTTTGTCTGTGTTTGTGTTTTGCAGTTGTATGTATGTATGTATGTATGTATGTATGTATGTATGTATGTATGTATGTACGTACGTACGTATGTATGTATGTATGTATGCATGCATGCATGTACGCATGCATGCATGTACGCATGTATGCATGTATGCATGTATGCATATATGCATGTATGCATGTATGTATGTTCGTTCGTTCGTTCGTTTGCCTGCCTGCTTGCCTGTCTGCCTGGCTGGCTGGGTGGCTGGCTGGCTGTCTCTCTGGCTGGCTGGCTGTCTATAATAATTTATGTATGTCAGTGTGTGTGTGTATGCGTGTATGGGTCCCCAATCCCAAAGGGTGCTTCTCAAAAGACAGGTTAAGTATTGGTCTCCCTTTAAAGCCAACCAAAACGGGTCCACCAATCTTGAGATCCCAGGTAAGTTTGCGATGAGAGTCGTCTTTCAACGCGCGGCAGCTGCTGGCGGCGGAGGCCAAGCTTTGCAGATCCCGCCGCAAGCAGCCTTAACACATGACTCAGGGATCCTGGGTCTTTCTCAGAATAGGCGCGCCCAAAAATGGCTAGTTCTCCGTTTGGACTCCCTTGAAACCGAGAACCCCCTACATGGGAGTGTGTGTGTGTGTAAATCGGGGTACTCCAAAAATGGTGAGCTTCCTTTGGCTCCCCCTAAATCCAACCCAAGTGGAGTGGTACTCAAAAACACTCTGACCCAAACTGGCCCACCGAAGAGAAATTGGATTGGCCCAAAATGTGATGCTTGTGACACATGGACAAAATATTCTTTTCAACAGGACATGGGGGTTGTCCCTCGGGATCTTGATGGAAATTTGGCTGCCCCCCCCCCTCCATATCCTCCACAAACCATCTGCCGTCAGCACCCATCCCTCCCACCCCTCCCACCCCTCACCACCCGCCCACCCTCCCCTCCCACCTGCATTCCCACCACTCCCACCCATTCCCACCAATTCCCACCCATTCCCACCCGTTCCCACCCATTCCCACCCATTCCCAGCCATTCCACCCATTCCCACCAATTCCCACCCATTGCCACTCATTCCCACCCATTTCCACCCAGTCCCACTCACCCACCCACCCGTGCGCGTGTCCATTTTGGTCCGCATTTGGAGAAGCTTTGTTTGTGAACTATTCAATAGCGTTTAAAGAGATCCCATGTGCCACACACGGCAAGGTTTCACGGCGTCAACAAAATAGAATCATGCCAAGTGCGACAAGGCCAAGCAGCTTCAGGCTTCGCCGAACCAAATTTTGCTTAACACAATCAAGCGCAGGCCTTGATTTGCTCTGAAATCGGGCCACAAGGAGCCAAAAGGGCTAATATGGTTGGTGGAGACCTTGCGCATTGTCTCGGAAAAGGCCAAGTGGCCCAAGATATGCTGCCTCACCTCAGGCATGTGCAGCATGCACCGCATGCCGGGCGCCCAGTCCATGGCAGGCACTTCTTCCGCGAAGAGCGATTTGAGCCAAAGGCCTAGGGCCAACAGGCCAACGCCCTGACGGTCTGACGAGCCTCTACCAAAGGAACACAACAGAATACAAGGGCAACGCACGGAACCCCACCATTGAAATTTGGGCACGGCGTCAATGAAAGCGACTGGCGTTGCGCTAAATGAAGGGAAACAAATACCCATGAAACCGCTAAAGCCCGGGGGAGTACACCTTGAACCATGGGCCTAAGCTCTGAAACTTCCCGAATCCCTCAAACTCCGCGTCAAATCGCGCATCTTATGCTCATCCGTGCCATCGTTTGCGCCTTCGCTTCCCACTGATACTAAAAACTCCACGTGGACGCCGAGAATGGAATTGATTGAAAGCCAAGTAAACGGAGAGGTAAACTCTAACCCGCAAAATTGAACTCTAAGAAAGCTAAGGAATCGGTCAAATCGAGGCCTGCACCTGGGGAGTTTGTGTTCGGGTTCTGCTATTTGTATGTCAGTTCAGCTCAGGCAATCCGTGGCCTTCCCTCAGTCAACCAATCGTCGGGAAAACATCATCACCATGCTTGTCAAAGGCTCTGAGGCTCCATTGGAGGGTGTCATAGTCTTTGAAAGGAAAAACACACACACATCATATCTGCTGTCTCAAAGGGCTGAGTCTGCTTGCAGAAATGGAAGCAACATATATGAAATCCTGAATGATGGGTTGATACAAAATGCATTCTGGCCTTGCATTCCAAAGTCCTACGTCCCCGACCCAATGTCGCAACGCAACACGACATCTATGTCAAGGCGCCATCTGTAGTACTGCGCCTCAGCTGACGACCGCTCCTGGCTTGGTCATGGGGCTCATGGAAAAGATCCTTGCGACAGCCACGCAAAAGCCTTCCTCTGAAAAAGCAGACAGACCAAGCAGTGCATTGATCGCCCAGTTTGCAAACAGCCGATCCTAGGCCCCTGAGAGCCGATAAGCTGATGTCAGTGATATAAGCACTGCCCTGTAACAATTCGGGCAGTCCTTCAGGAAGGTCCAGTCAAGGTCGCTTTTGCGCCCGCGCAGACTTTGACGCACGGCTTCTTCAAACCTGGGCAGCAACATTGAGCGCCAGAGGTTCATTTTCATGTAGGTTGTTTGGTGTCCTCCTGTAGGCTGCAAGGGATTTCAACAGTGTGTTGCCTGCGAAATGTTTTCGGGACCTACACAAAATATCGTTTTGCTCCGGGTTTCTAATTGTACGGGCCCCTTGTCAATGTAAAAGAACTGTTTGGAGTTGGGCCGCCAAATCAACGGTCGCCCAAAGTGTACCTGCAGAATTTGGGCAACAACAATATAAGCGCACAATCCTGGTAAAGCAAGCCCACGTGCCAATTGTGCAAACCAGGTTGTGCCCTTGGCACATGCAAGACGCCTCATGCAGTTCTTGCCACTAAATACTGTAACTCATGGTTCCCGTGGGCATGTGCACAGCTTGGCAGAGACTTTGTTGTTTGCTTCCGAGTTCAGGGGCCTCATGTTGCGTATAGAGACTTTGCTTTGGGGTAGCCTTTCAATTTGAGATCCACCACTCCAACCAAGTACCTTGGTCAAACGCCGAGCTGCGGCTCGCCCATCTGCGCCACATACTTGGCCAGCAGGTCCTAGGGAGCTTGTCTTGAAATGGGCACCCCTTGTTGCCCTATCCTGGCTGAAACAAGCCCTCCAAATATCCTCAAGAAAGAGCTTGTGACAGTGAGGGGGTACCAATGGAGAACAAGTCTGCGGCATTAAAGACAATAACTGCATCATGGGCGAGCTCGTGTTACCCCAGGCGAGATTACCATGAAATTGAAAGCGTCCACCTAACTTGTCTTCGCTCCTTTGCATCCGAAGGACACCGCATGGAAATGTGACTCAAAGCCAATAGCACTTGTTTTCATGCCAAAGTTTCCACTTGCCGTCTTCTTCCGAGAAATCCGCCGACCCTCTGCCTCCCGTCCCAGCCTCCTGCAGAGGGGACCGGCGTGGGATGCAACTGGAAGTGATTGGAATCAATGATAGTCCCTGGGGGACACGCCCGAACCCACAAAAAGTGGATTCCCAGGACCGGTCCCGGAACCGGTCCCGGGACCGGTCCTGGGACCAGTCCTGGGACCAGTCCTGGGACCGGTCCTGGGACTGGTCCTGGGACCCTGGTTCTGCTGTTTCAGATTACTTGTAGTCAGCCAAAACCGGTCCTGGGACCAGTCCTGGGACCGGTCTGGGAAGCCGGTCCGGGATCAAGTCCTGGTGACCGCTGGTATTGGGTCCTAATTCAAACTGCTGTGCTGCCACCTCAAACCGCTCCAGACACGTTTCCGGACTGGCACCCAGGACACTGGACAGGGTCCCAGGTCGTCACTCCCTGCGACCAAACCGGCCCGTGCGGTTATTGACGTCCTTGTGGTAGTAGAGGATCCCTGGATCTATTCTGCAAGAGAGTCCAATACGTCAAGTCAAACCGCGCCAGACTGGGACCAGCCTGGACAGGTCCCGGTCCCTGCCGGCGACCGGTCCAGGGCAACTTCGGGCCCGGCCAACTCGAAGTGACTTGGGCGCAAGCCGGCCCAAGCGGTAATTAACGGACTAGCTGCCCTATTTCTGACTTTTCCGTTAATCCTTGTTTGTGGTCAACTTCGGGAGGGCCAGTTTGAGGGCGACCCCGGGAGAGGCGACTGCTCCCGGGCCAACTCGAAGTGACTTGGGCGCAAGCCGGCCCAAGCGGTAATTAACGGACTAGCTGCCCTATTTCTGACTTTTCCGTTAATCCTTGTTTGTGGTCGTAGAGGATCTTATAAGTGGTCCCTGGGTTTGCGGACGTGTTTCAGGAACGGTCCTTGTGACTTTTCCCTTAATGCGCCGAGGGTCGGCGGCAGCAGGCGGGAGCCTGGTTAATATGCTAGCACCCGAGAACCGAAAGGGAAACTGAAACAGAACCATAAAGAAGTCATGTTTTATACAGTCTCATCATAACAGCTAGCCCTTCGCATTGGCTCACATGTGTGTTACGTCTGCCAGATGAATACTCCTCCCAAGATCTGACTTGCTTGCAAGGCTCAATAACTCTGCGCAGCTCTCGTGGAGGTCGCTGCACGTGAACCTGGCTGTCCAAATGTGTCAAGACCATTTGGACCCCTCCAAACTGGTCGGTTTCTTGGCACTTGTCCGTTCGACATGCAACAAAACAGAGTCCACGCTGGGCCCCACAGCCACATAGGTGTGTCTCTAAGTACTTGAGCCCCCACAGGCCACACCTTCTCCAAAAACGTCTGCTTGCAAAGTGCGCTCAAACCCCAACGGTACGGCAACGAACACCCTGCTCACCCAAAGCCTTGCCCGCCTGGGATTCGAGTTCGGCGGTGACCAAAGGTATGTAAAGCACTGACTTGCGCATGGCACGCGAAGCCGGACACCGACGCACCGACTTCTTACCGAGAGGTACTTTTTTGCTTTGAGGCCGCAAGGCACGGAATGGGACGAATAGGAAGGGCCAAGTTGAACCGGTTGGCAGGTTCGTGAGCACTGTACAAAGGTCCCCCAAAGAGACGCCTGTAAAATGGTATGCTGGATGTAGATCTTGCAAGCAAACAAACAAGGGGAACCGGGCCGCTTGCCAGGGGTTTGTGGTGGGTTCGGGGAATCCGCAAATTCCCTGCGGAACACATGAAGGCCCACATCCAAGCGGATCTGACTTCGCAAATCTGAAAACATGGCCCGAGAGTTCGTATCGGCCCAATGTAATCCCAAGGGCTCGCTTCGCTAGACCTTTCGATGGGTTCCAAGTTGAGTTCTTTAAGACTCACTTTTTGAAGTGGGTGGCTACCAGAACCAAACTGTTTGGAGTTTCTGAGTGCATAGGCCGACAAAACGTCCGAACTTTTGGTTGGCCCCAAGAAGCATAAACTCCAGGAACTCGGGAGGCGAGAAGCTACTCTTGAGCAGTGCTTCCGCTGAAACATTAAGCACTCGACTGGATACAATGAAAACAAGGAAAGAGCGTAAGATATAGACCCGATTTTCATTTGCCGCATTTCGGCTTTCCCTCAAGAAGTATGCCAGACTGGCGCGGGTCGGGACCGCTGACTACCCCAACTTTATCATTTGAGTTCCAATTAAACCCGCCCTTCAACAACTTCCCCCCGTGCCACCTGTCGGGCGTTCGCCGACAAGTCGGAAGCTGTCACGTGCTTCGCCTGCTTGCCACCAAGCACCACTCATGTTCTCAGCTCTAGGGAAACGCAGGTGGGAGTGTGTTTTTGAGGGTAGCATTTTGGGCGAGGGGTTTTAAAGGGAAACAAACAGGAAAAGCACATTTTGAGGGTCTCCATATTTGATACATACCCTCATATCCAGGTGTTTTGGCACATTTGGGAACTCTCCCCGATTCTGTTTGCGCTGAGGCGGATACACAAATCAACCAGCAAAATGACTAACGGGCCTCCAGGACTTCAGGAAACACTCATGTATAGCACCCGGCAGCACTATTCAGACCAAACCCACTGCAAGCCTCGCCTAGCGGGTGCTAGATAGGGTTGCCCCAAAACTGTGGACCTCCATTTAGTTTGTTGCTGAAGGGAAACCGCAGCAAGCTCCTAAAGAGCTGCAGAGTCCGCCTGTCAGGCGAGTTGTGCATTCCAACTCAATGCCAAATGACCCTTCCTTCCTCAATGAGAAACTACCGCACAAGAGTTTCAATGCAAGACTCGCAAAGCTAGACGCTCCAAATGGTTGGGGCAGTTCATATAGTTGTCCCTTCAAGATAGAAACCCAATTCTCCCACCCCCGAAAAAGACGACAGTCCCCTTTCACACATCCAACCAAAGCACAGCATAACTCATAGCCGCGCGTTCAGCCTTCCCACGCCGGTTCGTCCCAGGTCCCGGCCTTCAGCTCCTCCAGAAAACCTGAGCTTGCCGCAGGGTCAGAGAGTCAGAGAACCCTTGGCTCAGTGGAGTGAACCAGGCCGTGGTGTTTGATT